AGTATGGAGCATCATTGAATAAGTCTCAAAAACATTGGGGGTGGGAAAGCCGTTTTTTGATTAAGTAATCCATTTGTGACTTATTAAGCTTTAAAGAGACAATTTTAGACCAATTTAACTTTGGTTGATAAAAATTCAAACGTTACGGCAGTAGTACCTATATATGTATAATGAAGATAATGAAGAAGATTAAAAGGAAAAAGTTCAATGTTGTCTTTACAAGTTTACGAGTAATAGTCGACCAATTGTATATAACTCGAATATTCCGAACGACTCCATAAAAAACAACAAAAGTGTTTTTTTTTTTAATGATACGGAACCCTGTCATAGCTTAGAGATTTCAAAGTGTCGTCATTTCCAATGTCTTGGGTTAGATTCCCAGTCAATATATAAATGGACTTTTCTATGTGTATTGGGTCTGGGTGTTGTGGTGTCTTCTTTGTCTCAGATACAATGCAATGTATGTGAAGTTGTCTCATATTTATTTAGCTTTCGTCTAGCTTTATGCTGTCACACGCACGACGTCGAATTCGAGTTTATTTTTAACAGAACAGCATAATTGCATATCGATCATACTGGTTGTTTTTTTTTTTGGAATCATAATGTAACAATGAATATCTTGAGTATGGTGTCTACATTGAAATGTTATGGTGAATGGTTTCACTGCACATTCAATTGTCATAACATGGAAACAGTGAGAGTAATAGTTAAAAATATTTGTTGTAATGCGTTATTAAATGGGAATTGGATTATGTACAGTAATATCTTTAATTTTGCGAGGGTTTTGTAACTGTAATACTTTGGTACCTAATATGAATGAAAGAAAAAGTTTTTATCTACATATGTCATTTCCAGTTTTGTCTGATTAGCGAAATATCAGCAACGAACGCAATATCGAACAACACAGACATCGTTTAAAGGTTCGATTAAATAAAACCGATTTCAAAAGGTTATAAAAATCGCAGAGGTAGTAATAGAGGTTTGAATCGATTAAATCTCTAACAGCACTATCCTTGACGCTGTGTTCGTGAAGTTTTCTACAGAATAATAAAGCAGGATTTATCTCTGAACTCAATCTGGAATCAATTTTATCTTTAAAAATTCAACTGTCTCAGAGATTCAAAAAATTCACAGTTTTTTTCAATTTCATATTTGAAAGATATTCACGAACTTCACGCTACAACTATTTGACATATAATAGCGATTGCGATCGAGAGATATCGAATGAATGATATCGTTATTTTGACGTTAATTGGATTTGATTTTTACTTCAAATTACTAAGTTTTTATTTTTTCTTGATTATTCTAATCGTCATTCGTTCCTAATCATACTGATTCCGTTAATCTCTTTCATAATAGCTATACCTTTACTCTTTACCCTAACCCGTAATCTTTCGTTAAAGTATTATTTGAGATATGAGAGACCCCTAATGAGGTCGAAGTGGAAGAAATGGACGAAGTTATGGGTTTTAATACTGCCATTAAGTTTGAGCTTGTGTCGAGCACTCCATATGAGATAAATACCATTAAGCATTATGAATGCAAAAAATAACGAAAAAAAATAATTTTACCACTAAACACCTTATTATCAAGCTCTTGCAGTACAGAAATCTTCTTTAATAAGTTACTGAAACATTTACTATTTTTATACGCATATTTAATGCAGAAATAACGAATGATTTATTTTTATACAAACCCTTATAGCTAATATTTTATGGACTTGCCCATATAATAGATAATAAAGTGATAAATTAAGGTAAAAAAAACTAAATACCAAAAAGTTCGACGATCTTTACATAGAAGCTGAACGGGTTCGAGGATCATCTCATTTTTATTTAGCCTGATGGTGCGTTCGCAGCGACGGTCAAAACCCTAGCAATAAAAAATGATACTCACGAAACGATTAATTCAGAGCCACCGGAATTACTGCTTCTGAACGCACTGATAGACCCGGTACATATATAACACTAGCTTGCTTTTTCATAGTCACGAACGTTATATAAATTTATGGTGTCCGTGCGTGCGATTGCCGCGATGTCTATGGACAAACTAAGCGAAAATCTTGGTGTCTGCAGTGCGTTACGCTGACGAGGGCACGTGTGCAATGCTCCAGGGCAGTGCTTCCCAACCTTATCCTGGCCACAGACACCCTACGAATACAAGCACAAGTTGAACATTTCCTTATAAGAGGGCGCGTACACAAAAAATAACTCTTTCAAATGGTTTTGTACCAAGAAACCCCATCCGAATAAGAAGTAATTTAAAATGACAATTTCACATCTTGTTTCTAAGGAATGATACTCTATGTTAGTATTCATCCAAATTTCTCGACAGAAAAAATTACAAAGTTATCCCTTTCCATCATAATTTCTTAACGTAATATTACTCTTTTTCTTAGAGGAAAGTACTCAATATAAAGGTTTGCGAGTAATTATTAAAAAGGAAGCAAAGTATTCCAAAAAAATGATAAGTAAACGGTTCTCAATTATTTCGAGTTCAAGAATTTTATATTTCTTGCGTTACTGAGTGACTGACTGACAGACAACGTACAGACGAAAGTACTGAGCCTAGAACGTAAAAATTGGGAATGAAGATTCCTTAGGGAGTGTAGAGGAGCACTAAGAGGAGATTTTTGAAAATTCCACCCCGAAGGGGCTAAATTAGGGGATGAAAGTTTGTATAAAACTTCGTTACTACAAATGCTAGGAGTTTCCAATTTTGCAAGAGGGTTTTTTTTAGGACATAGGTGCTCACTAAGATGGGATTTTTTGAAATTCGACCCCTAAGGAAGTTTCTCATTTCTGATATCAGTCATACATGATATCGGCACCGATACCACCGTGGCTCATACGACGATTTCCAGGCGTCACCATCTTTGATGCCCTGGTTTCGTTTCCCGGTCAAAAACGTCAATGTCAAAAATGAACTTTTCTGTACAGTGAGTAGCTACTCTATTTGGGATATGAGCAACGTGATATTGTCGAATATTTATTAATTGAGCTGTAATTCCGTTGGCTACCTTTCGTAGTTGGTAAATACGAACGTGGTATGAGATCCACGTCGATCAATATAAAGAACGAACGATAACGACACTCACACTAAATTAGGTCACAAACGAATCTGTGTACCCCTGGGGTTCACAGATCACGGGTTAAGAAACACTGCTCCAGCGCATCCAGCGACGCATCACCGCAGACGGTGATCTCTTCGCCCGCTAATTTTGCTGTAAACTACTAGTATACCTGTTTTGATAAGCTTCTAAGTTACGTAACAGACGTGAAGTAATAGAATATAGTAACGTTCATTTCATCATTGAAACAGTAAACATAATGTTATCTAATTTGCAACACTACTATTATAAAATTATGTGCCTATATAATTGTACTACTTAACCATTGTTAAATTAGTTTGTTATTCCGTTTGTTTATTAATATTTGATTAATATAGGAGATAAAATAGATTGTCGCAGTTACTATAACAACGCATTTTCACTCGCACGCATGTTATGGTATGATTTTATCGGTCGGTGATCATAATTATTGATTATTGTTGAGAGAATATATGAATCTATAACTTAAACACTTAGAGATCGAGTTAAACTTCATATATATATTCTTTTGGAGAGTCTTTATATTATTTATAGTTGTAGTTATGTGGGTCAAGAGTGTGTACGTTGTGTTAGAGATTTTCTGGATAATAGAAAACGTCAAAGGAAATGTGAGACAGATTGGTAAATTATTAATGACACTATACGGACGCTTACCCACATGTCTTTAAGCTAATATATTTTTATATGGTCAGCGTATATTACTTATACTCTACAGCTAACATAGGTTAAGTTCATACTAGCAATGTCCGAATTTAGATGTCCAAAATAAAATTTATTATTATTATCATACGTCTTAAATAAATATATTAGACAACATCACACACATTGTTCAGATTCCAAGATGAAATTAGATAAAGCCCGCGTATCCGTAATCGAACCCGAGACCTGAGAAGTGGCAACAGCTTGAAACTGGCGTGTGAATCGCTCGGCTACGAAGGACGACGACGTTAAAACGCTCACATTAAAAAAAACAAAGAAATAAGTTTAAAAAGATTTCCGCTAGTAAATTCTTTTAATTTAACGAAAACTGGAATTATAAACAATTCATTTGCAGAAACGAAATACAGAATAATTGGTTCGTCATTATTTCATGAGTGTGTGGTAATGACGTGTTGTTGGCAGTGCTATTATTTTTTATTGCTTCTGAATATTTTAGGTATTTAGGGAGTATTTCCATGAATGCCGCATTGCGCATACGAAACGTCGCGTCGCAGCACTGGCTTGTATTGCTTGTATCAATAACAGCGCGACTTTCCCGTTCTGCTTGGTTGGGCTCAATGAAGTTTTCTTTAACGTGTGGACGCATCCGATTACTTTCAATATGTCACCCTCATTCATTAGACCATGATGGTGCGCTTGAGAAAGACAAGGAGCTGGGGTACCACCGCCTAATTCTAGTCGCCGCGATATTCGTCACTACAAAATTTTCAGACCAGCTCAGTTATTAAGGAATTTCTTTTGTCATTGGCAAAATTACACTTTTTCTAGTCTTTTATTTTATTTTTAATCTATTAGTTTTAGTCTTTTATTTTTAGCCTCGGGTGAAAAAGTTTAATCGTGCCGGCTTTGATGAAACGACATCTAAGTGATGTTGATATGTCTTTTGCAGGATAAATCAATGAGTAGAAAGCGTTACTGTCAAATCCATAATCATCATTATTTGTCATTCGTTTGTGTTAAAGTAGTAAAATGAGACAAAATATTGTCAAAACATTCCTGTCAAAAGTTAAAAATCATGAATTTTGTATGACGTAAACTCCTTAACGTTGTAACAAAAAATGATCTAGTAGTGCTATCGTTATAACGTTTCGAAAATGTGAATTTGAAATAGTAAAGTCCTCTTTATTGTTACAGCCTTAGAAATTCAATCAAATAATTCAACCGACTTAAAAAAAGATAATATAGATTAAATTCGATTCAATCTCCAATGCTGTGGCAGTGTTGTGTTCGGCATTGTATTTTCAATTTCGAATAGCACTGCTGACATGCTATCGTGTGTACCTATGTACTGTACAAAGGGTCAATAGGCATACTTTCGCATTCATATCGTGTATAAGAAATAGGACACTTTCGATGAAGTTGTTTTTCTGCTTACCTACATGTTTCTTTAATGTTTGGGTTTCTCTATTGATGTCTCGAATATTAAGCTGTTTTATCAAACAGGATCTAATCCAATACAAATAAAGCCTATGTAATGTCGCCGAAAATCTTTAGTTAAAATAATAAACTGCACAACTGTTTTCAACATTTAATTACAAATAAATGCACAAGTTATAAGAGAAATTATTAACTATAACTATTAAGCAAATTATGTAACAAATCTCGACGGTAGACGCAGGTTGGACTATATTTAGCTTGCGCCGCGTGTCGCTACGCGCCTGTACTGGTTTCATACATTTGTTTGACAAACCAGGGTCAATGTAATAATTCCCATACTAAATACATATATAAAAACAATCCGCGCGGAGATACGTCAGGCAAAAAGGGCTAAATATCATTCAGACTTTATAGTATTTAAATCATGTCGTTTCGTCTACAATATTATTTTTATTTCGAAGGCCTGCAGGCGTAGCAAGGCAAATTCGAGACACGCTTTGTCTACATCAAATAATACTTTTTTCGGATCAAGATTGAAATAATGTATGGACCCAAAAAAAGTAACATTTGATTGTAGACAAAACCTTCTTGATTCCGTCATGCTACGCGAGCTGCAAGTATAACTAACAGTTATCATCATTACAAATTGTTTGCAGGTTGAACTAATTGACTTTTTAACAATTCATAGATAATATTTTGGAGACGGTATAAGCAATCAATAAAACATTGTCTTGCTTGAAGACTGTCTCTGATTTATGGTTGAAACATTACGCAGTTTATAGTCAGTCATTTGGCTAGCAGTCATATCATTAGGCTAATATTAGATATCATAGTAAGAAATCGAAAAGATATTTTATTACAGATGTTTCTCCTATTACTATAACTACTATTAAAATGAAAAAAAAGGTGACTGTTAGGTATACTTGTTGACAGATTTCTTACTACAATATTCGTGACGTGGTATTGAAAAATTACTAATTAAATATATTTTTATTATTTTCCCAAAAAGCAATGAACAGTATCTATTATGCCCGGTCAATTTGATTATTTGAATAATCATTATCAAATCGCTCTCTCATATTGGGAATTTATCAAAATAAACGGGCATTATGTATAATGCCCAATTTATCACTTGGTCCATAACGTATATATGTCACAGACAAGTAGTAAATCAAAAGTCCAATTGGGCGGCTAGCCCTTTAATTGAATACGATCAGCCGATTACATGGACGCAACGTTATTAGGATGAACAAAAGTCAAATAACTAATTATTTGTCAATTCATCAAATACAATAAATAGAGCGTAGAGTGGGTGATTTTAAATAAAACTCTTAATTGCGACTGGGTGTTAATTATGATCCAATATATAGTGCTAACGTACAGTACACCAATTATACAAGTAGGTTAAGCTTAAACTTTAATAATAAATTATTAATAACAACAAAAAATTATAGACAACAAAGTTACTTAGGTCCTGTAGGTCACGTAGGGTTAGAAATTTAAGACGATCACGAAGCGTAAAGCAGCGATCGTCTTAAAATTCGAGGTTATTTTTTTTAAACACAACAAAACTAAATGAACCTTTAGTGATTCAACTAGAAAAATAGGCCTGCATTGCCCCTGCCCCTATTGATCGGCTGATCTAACCAGTTGGCTGCAACATATATAACATACAACCGGTTTTTATTTTGATATAATGCATTATATGTAGTTGGGTTCAAAACATGTCAAGTATAAGATGTTATTATCATGGAAAAACTTAAAAGTAATCTTAAACTAAGAACAAGAGTAATCGTATTTTTTTACCCAATTAAATGATAAATTATTGCTTTATACAAAACTATTTTTTTTTAAAAACAATCGAAAAGTAATTAGCTATGAAATCTACTAATCGCTAGTCTACAGTATTATGGGAATAATATGGTTAGAAATTATTTGGAATCACAAACTGTCTCAGGGATTTTATTATTTATCAAGGAAGAGGTACGAGTATATAAGAAAAAATATATTTAGTTTATGTACTTTGATTAAGAATTATTTCATTTATGAGTAGCGCTGCGATTTTATTTCTAGTGTAATTAAAAAACGTTAATCGAATTTGGAAAATAAATAAATACATCATCATCATTTTTTTAAATTCTTTTACCTATGTTTCTATAATATAATAAGAAAATCAATGGTTTTATTACTATTAATAGCTCAGTTTTTCAAATAATGTTACGTGTAAAGAAACGAAGACAATCCTTTTTCATCATTTAGATGTTACTATTTGTTCAAGAATTGACTGAAATTTTGAAAGTGTGTATCATTTATTTTAGTATAAAAATAACTAAGTATTTTTTAAATACATATTTCCTATTTAGAGACATTGATATATCTCGTCGATTATAATAAAGCGGCAATGGATAAGCCTCAATTACGTGTAGTTGAGGGCAGTATGCCCCTAATGTATAGGAAGTGAATCTAATTTGACGAGCGTGAGCCCCAGGAGTGGGGGGGGGAGAAGGGAATAATAGCGCATATTCTCTAAATTGCTAGAGAGATCAGCAGGGAGACCTAACGAGAATCTTAACGGTAACTGAATTCGTAGAGGCCAACTCGAAAGCAATCTACTTATCGAATCTATTACATTACAACAGTTATTTACATTATCTAGATAACTATCTACAAATGCGTATGTTTTACAACAAATATTTGTCAGCCTTCTTAGGAAAACTATGTCGTTCCTCATATTTCTAAATACATATTTCTTCTTTTCACCATCGGTATTTGTCATGTTATAAAACGGCAATAATATATAATCAAATCATACTTTATATCATTCTTAATTAACAAACCCAGTCTTATCCGAAACCTTGTTAAACCTTCCAATATAAGGCCTTCATTCTGAGATTCTCAACAAACACTGGAATTTTAATTAAAAGCATTTCTTTGTATATTTTTATCATGATATTGAAACCCATGTCTTTTATCATTCTTAGACTCATAGTATAACAAAGTATTTATTTTTAATTGAAAATCAGTCTAACTATCTTCAACGGTAGGGCAATATGACCACATTATTCCTGTGCTATTAAACCAGGTCACCCCATTTCAGTAACGTCGGGATGGTATTCATACGAAATCTGATTTATATTCTTACGCTAAGGTAATATTCAGTCAATTGAATTTTGTTGGATTCCACCTTCCACCTCAAGAAGGTCCCAGACAGAAGAAATCCACAATCACCATTTAAGTATTACTGTAACGGGCCGTCTATCATCGTCTTTTGGTTTGGTGCAAGACAGGTCTATAAAAGTTTTCACATAGAACATAATGTCATGTTTTAACAATTCGTGAAATTACAGGCCTCATACCTAACTTCTGATCTTCCTGCGTGAGTTTTAGAAGTCCTGAAGATTTATTTTACCGGTGACGTTTTCAGGGAGATTAAACCTTCTTAGCATTTTGAGGGCGGTCCTCGTCGTCTGAGTGTTCTTCTTGGAGCAGCAAACTATCAGGAGGGCCGCGGGGAGAAGCACGTGGATGGGCATTGCGCCGCAGACCACCTCGTCCGAATAAACGTGTGAGCTGCGCAAATTTCTTCCGAGATACTGAAATTGTAAAGAATGTGCAGAAACATATGGGAGAAAACAGAAAGACGCATTTTAATACTCAATTGATATATTTGAAATCGCCATGTCGATTCCAATGCTTTTACAAGAATGATAACCCATTGGCGCGAAACTGATCAAATGTCAAAGACAAAATGACAGTGGCAGCTAACTGACAGATAGGGATGCCGATGAGACGATGTTTTTATCGCTTTTTCTCACCTGCTAACATCGAAGATAAAATATATAAAATATTTCTAATGTTGCTACTTATGATATACATTCCTGCTGCATAAGGAGTCGTTAACACTCACCATCTGTACTTGCCCCTCGAGGTGGATATTGACTTATTCTCCTTATTTTATTCGATTCTATCCCTAGGGAAAGCATGTGGCTCAGCAGTAAAGACATTGATGAAGCATGATCCACCAAAATCTCATCCCATGCCCTCTGGGCTGGATTGAGATCAAGAGTAAGCACTTTATTTATAAAAAAATAATGTAAGTAAATACTTAAATAATAAGTTATAACTTACATTTTCCCATATTCCTAAGCCGCTCTTTAAAGACGGCTTCGTCATCATGCCCCTTAGCCTTGCCCTGTTCACTGTCCAAAGCTGCCATGAACTCTTGGTTCCATCTCAACTCTGCCATAAACTCTTCATTTTGTAAGAAGGTAGCTATCCTGTCGTCGTCCATTTCCAGGCTAAGATCGATCCTTGCGTCTGTGCATGGGGGGATTCTAAGGAACATGGGTGGTAAGGGACCTAGCATTCTTGGCACCCATTTTTTCTTTATCGCTAACGGTATTGATTCTTCATCGACATCTCTGGAAATATAACTCATATTAATACAACTTTGGTATGATCTGAGACAAAGATTTAAAATTCATTTACACTATCGAAAAAGAGAACTGATCACTTGATTACATCACTCAGTATGTTGTTAGCTCATTAGGTAGAGAACCTACCTTACATATGTACTACATTATTGATAACAATAAACTTCATATACCTAACATATCGCTTTTATTCGAAGTTCTCTAATTTAACGTGGTTGATTTATCTACCTAGGCATACCTTATTGCTGTTTTAATCTATTAGCTTAAATTTAGTAGCTTCTCTTCATAAAATGTAATCTATACTATAATAAAAACGTAACCGATCGATGTATGAAAAAGATACGAAGATATATGAAAAAAACTGTTATGAGAGGCATTTATAAACGTGACAGAAGATAAAACGATTTTCAAATTTTTTGTCTGTTTGTTGGTTCGTTTGTGCACGCTAATCTCAGAAACGGCTGAACCGGTTTTAATGCAGATTTCACTATTGCATTGTGCTAACTTTCCATTAACATTTAGTGTAAGTTTTATTTGAAACGGTTCATAAATAAAATAAAAAATATCAATTTGAAGTACTGTGTTCGCCAAATTGCTATGAAATTAATTGCTTCATTAAATTTTTGTCTCCAACCCTTGTGAAAATTGCCTAACAAAAACCATTGAACTCAGTCAAGCAGCTCACGGAAGTATAATATTAGTACACGATTTACGGCGAGTGTGCAAGGTCGAATTTAATATAATTTATTTTTTTAGTTCTCTGACGTTCTGCGACAAATAAGACGCGCATGTCTGATGAAAGATACGTGGCGGCATGTCTGTCGACCCTAAGACATTTATTGACAAACAAAGTCGTTTGAGCTCTCAGAGTCTTCGGACAGGAAGCGCTCGGTCACAGATACTTGACGGGCGCGAAGCGTATTTTAATACCCATCGCGACGCTCATGCACTATCAAGTTGAATCTGGAGCATTCGTTGTTAGGGAAAATATCTTGAGCTCTCAGACAATTCATACAGCAAGTGTTTGATCTCAGAAAACTCCTGAAGATAACTAAGCACATCTAACTGATGATCGTCACACATATGCAGTATTGTTTGAGTCTGAGACTTCCTTTGATAGAGAAATGCGGACGAGCTCTTAAAGAGCTCGGACTTTGCAGTACAGAGAGCGAGAAAGTAGTTCCGATTATCTCCAATAGGTGTTGCCTTCAACCTGCCTGTACCCCACAAGCATACCTATATAATTACGTGTTAACTAGCCGCGTAAATTATAGCCCATGTCACCCGAGTATGACGTTGCTTCCCTTGGGTGAAAGAATTTTTAAAATCGGTTTAGTGGTTTCGGAACCAATTCAACAATTAAATTTTTCTCTATTTTTAGATTAGAGGTTAGCGCATTCGGTTTACGATGCGGTTAAGTAAGTAAGTAAAGTCTTTATTGCACAACAAGAAAATGATACGAACATACATATATATTACATGTACTAAAGATAAACTTAGCGCTACCCAGATTACTTTCAGGCAACCTAGCATTGGATGGAAAAACATGACAAAAATAATAGACTGCGCATACAACTAGACAGATAAACAAATAAACTTTTAAAAAAATCTTGAAAAAAAATATAGAAAAATGACTAACGTAAGGGCCGTTCATAGGGTGGATGACCAAAACATTATTATCTTGAGCGCCTCTGTGCTTTGGAATGCAAGTTAAGCCGTTGGTCTCGGCTGCATCAGTAGTTGTTAACACCCACCAATACGCATTGGGCCCGCGTGGTGTATATTCGTTCCACAAAGGCCGGCAGCGCGCTTGTAGCCCTTCTGGTGTTGCAGGTGTCCATGGGCGACGGTAATCACTTACCATCAGGTGATCCGTCTGTTCGTCTGCCTCCTATCCCATAAATAAAAAAAAACATTCTTCCGATATACTTTCCCACGCAAACGAAGTCGCGGGCACAGCTAGTTAGGTATATATTTGATCGCATTTCAACATGTAAGACGTGGGGGCCAATTCTACTAAATAAATTTTATTTAAATCGAATCGAAAACGGATCGAAACCGAACCAAACTACAGTTTTTAATGGTTTTCCTATTCTACAAAGTGACATACGATACAATTCCAGCTAAAATAGAACTCCGTTTTCGATTCGATTTAAACAAAATTTACTTTTAAATTGTTTTAGATTTTCTACCGTATTGTTTTTATTATTTTATTATTATTAAAATAAATGACCATTCGATACCAAAATAATTAAAAAATCGAGTACCTACTTATGTGATCTTTAAACTATTCTTTCATAGGAAAATATGTATTAATGTTAAATTAACAGTACGCTAGCCTAGCCACTGAAACGCAATCATAAATCTAATAAAATTAGTAATTAATGTTATTATAACCTTGTGGATACCCGGAACACGGGACCCTGCATAATAAAACCAACCTTGTTATTTTTCAATGTAGGTAGATAGTAAATTTTTCAAAGGACTGCTGTAAGTCATCTAGTTACATGAAAGTTTTGTCTTAAATGAAGGGTGTAACGTACCATCAGGCAACCTTAAATCCAATTGTATATAAAGTCTGTCGATGAGATACAACGAATATGTGAAGCCTTTTGTTAGATCTATAATTGAAATCAACTTTTATACGGTTTAATCAAACAATAATGAAATGCTGTTTTGAATTTTAACGAGGTACATAAAATTTGGGGTATGCATTAGCGAGAATGAATAATTTGCTATTCAGAAGGAAAGGCGAGGGTTTACGAAACTTTTAAAACCAGTTTTATTCTAATATTTGCCAAATAAAAAAGCAAAGCAATAAATGGGTTTTTTTGGATCGAATTTACAACGAATATATTTCATCTCTTCTGATATACATGATTTAAAATGATCAAAGGATTTTTTTATAACTGTATTTGTTTTTTTCTGCGATTAAATATGTATGGAATTAGGCGAGCTCGTCTACACTCTCGATGTATTTGTATGAGAACATAAGCGGTTAGATTTCTTTATTTGAACATAGAAGGTTAATAAATAATATAACACCGTAAAATAGAGCAGCTAACTGTGAAAAGAAACATGGTTTTGTTTTTCTTTGACATGACATAAAAATAACCTCCTTTTTTGGAGTCTGTTAAGTTAAAGTACGTTATCTAATGTTGCATCATATACATACTCGTACCTAAACTGTTATTCACTACTCATATGAATAAATATGACACCAGAAGGTCCATTCTATTTTTCGAAATTTCGAAAAAGAAATTCGTCTGTTTTGGAAATGCTAACATGAATCCTGAGAAACGCATTGTTTGTTAATGCAACGGAGTTACAACCTGACATTGCCTTTGATGCACTGGTAAACTTTATAGATATAATTTTAACAAAATTATAAAAACACTATGATAAAAATTATTCGGAACGTCCTAAATTTTCATTCTAGGACAAATAGAATAGGCCCAATCAAGTGTCACGTGAATTCCTACGAGTTATATGTACATGATACATGATAAAAAATAAATTAAACCTTTGCTGTTATATAAAACAATCAGTGAGAAGCTGAACGTTTGCGTTCGACGCAAATTGTTTACAGAATAGTGAAGCTTTACAAGACCAGTCCCAGACGAATTGTGACATCCTTATTAGACCTTTTCCAGAAGGAGCAAATTGGCTTTAGCGGTAGTTTTATATTTTACAATTAAAATGTAGGCATGATACCTATTTTCATCTTCAAAATAATTGTCAAGCTTCAGTCCATTACCTAAATTCAATTAATTGAGAATTTGATGATTGAGAGAACGAGTAGTGATCATCCTAATGAAAAATCTGTTCTCTTTTTCGGTTCAAACATCATCTGTTATTTTTTTAAAGATAAGATTTTAATAACAGAATACTTTAAACAACTATATTGGCTATGAATAAACAAGTATTTTCACGTAATTTCATTATTGTCTGGTTACAAGACAGATTTTTGTATAATACCTAATAAACAACCCTCTGTTCTGTATTTGAATACAATGAGTGCACAATAATAGTTCTCCAATGTGACCTATGTACTTAAAGTACAATAGGTGTACATAAATCTAAAATACAAAAGACAGCTCCGCGACACTAGCGGGTTTCATTGTAGCTTCGTCTTTGTTAAAAGTCCGCCACTATGACCTGTTGCTTCATTCGTTTGTTTATATATTTTGTTGTTATATAAAAAAACATCCAAAATCCACAAAAATTTCCATTGGTGATTAGATTATTATTTATTTATTACACGAAATTCGTAATGGTCTTTCGTAATATTGAAATATTAAACCTATTCAGTGACAAGATTTCTTGATAAGTTTTGATGTCTCGAAATAACCTTTGTTCCTAATTGCCAATAATTACTTAATTAAGTATATTGTCATTGTCTATACCTACGTTATTTTGACATAAATAATTTTTAAGTTTCCCAACTTACACAAGTGCAGTAGTGTCGTTTTCATCTCCGTTTTCAGCTGGTTTGGTCCCGGTTCGTCGGTCCTTACGACGCGAAGGTGTACTATTTTCCACGCGTTCCATCTCAAGACGCAACCTTTCGTTTTGGTTATCGGTACTCATCGCTAACAGCTGATCGATCGTCGCGTCAACAGCGCCCTGATTCGCACGGAGCACTGCCTCTATTACGTCGTCATCCATGTCCGGGAACATTGTCTTAAAATCGGTCATCGCTTGTGTAAACTCCAGCTGCATTGTGGACGCCATCGTGATGCCGGTTTCCTTGGCCATGCGATCCACGAAACGTCACGATTGTGCTCCCTTCGCCGGCGACTCAGCTGATACGTTAAGCGCCGCAAAGACGTCAGCAGTCGCCGGGTGGGCATTAGCCATCCTGCGACGCCGGCCGTCGAGGTGCTTATTAGTGCTTCACTTGCACTGATATTACACGGAGCCTTACACTGATCAAAACCGTGATGTGCAATTTTCACTTTCGACGTTTTCCTATTTTGCGCATGCGTAAGGTGCGGTGTGGGTGGTGGGGAGTGTGTTGTCGATATAAATAGAAAATGCACGTTGGTTCCCGGCGTCGCGACGCGTCGCTTCAGGCGGCCAGTGAACGGACGCATAACGTCACAATGCACTGCAGGACCCGCGGTCGCGCCTGCGCTAACGATTATGTTTGTAAATTGCGGCCATTCAATGTGACCTTTTGGACTAATGATATTTTAGGACCATTTCAAGGCATTCTAACAGTAATGCCTTATTTGCATCATTTTTTGCAAATAGTATCAATGCTTTGTTATCTAATAAAGAAGTAACACAATCGAGGCACGTAAATATATCATACCATACCATTCACTAAGTTTGTCGGCACGTGCATTTATTAAATTATCGGTTACCACCAGTGACACAAAACCGTTCAGTAGGTTATTAACCATTCGTTGTTTTAAAGACGAAAGATGTGTTAATTAAATTAATGAGACGTTAGTATCGTTAAAGTTAACTAGTACTAACATCTTTTGGTATACTTCTGAGGTCCCGGGTTCAATTCTCTATATCGCCTAGAGTCCTGACGTTATGTTGCCTTCGTTGTTTCAGAATTCTAGGGTATTGTCTGATATAATTATTATTTAAAAGATTTAACACGTTTATTGACGTCTCGCGTGAATCGATCTATTACGCTGTGGCCGGTAACGCGCGATGTCGCATTATTGTCGTTTTACATCTGGTTTCTGAATTGAGAGTTTAAAATTAAGCACGTCTTTAACTCTTAATAGGTTTTCGTTGCAAATTTTTTTTTTTTTAATTATGAGTTGCTAGCAGTTTCAGTTTCAATCATTTGATATTTTGTAGTTTTTCAATTCAGAAACCCGTCGATAGTTTTCTTCGAACTGGCTACTTGTTGGCCATTCATGTAATGATCGGTTCACACGGATTAAGTGGTTAACTAACTTTTAAGTCAATAAATACGTGTAAACACACATTAATCACTTTAATTTAATAAATTGTTCCAAGAGTGACTTGGCAATGAACGTGTTAACTAATTCTGTGGACACTATCGACTGCTTTCAAGACTAAAACTCCTCAGTTACTCAATCGGCCGTATTCTATTCGTAAAGCGAAAAATCTTAACAGCGGCACGATGTCTCCTTCTAATGACAACCATCAGAGCAAACCCTCTAAATATTGCCTGCTTAGTTTGAGGCTAATCTTCGGAAATACTGATCCAATCATGAAGATTCTTTCACCTATATGGGTCATACGCCGGTGATTTACGCGGGTGAAGTTGCAGACAAACAGGTAGTTTAATAGAAATGAAAACACTGCAAACCCACTTTGAAGACTAAAACTACGTCAGTTTAATCAATTTTCAATAATATTTGACTGCGTTATTCTAAAGTTATAGTTTTTAGAGGATATACTTGTGCAGTTTTAGCTTTATACAGAGTTCTCTCTATGGTACTGCTTTTACATCAGTCCAGTAACGTTGTAAGGTCTTTAGTTTACCTTCAAAACTAGATTAATTTACTATTTGTCCACTTCGTCATGTACTGATTTATATGGGACATAATGGCGCTGGGATAAAGGACAGTGTTAATGTCGTGGCCATACCGTAGAATTGATAATTTCATGATCCGGCCATCAGTTATATTAGGCCGGCAGTGAATCATATAGGAAATTTAATTTTTATATTTACTTCAATAATACCATTATTTTATTTATACCTTCAATATATTTTTATCATCCGATGAAGCTAGATCAGAACCCTATCTTTTGCGACATATCCATAAAAATATAAAATAGCCGTTGCCGCCGCACCTTCGCTCTACACTCTTAATCAAGTAATTATTATCCGTTGCTTGGTCACCCTGTTTACTTTAATTTGTTGTATAACCTAAAAATAAAAATACATCATGTACCTATTATAAAAACAAGGCGACATCAGCGCCACTTAGTGAGACTAATGTAACTATTTTATGATATGTTCAATAATGCTTGACCACATCATGAAGCAGTCATACGATCAGCCGCCCATATTGTTAAACGCATATTATTCACTAGCATTCGCTAGCGGCTTTGCCCGCGTGGTCCCTAAGGTAATGTTTAGTGGGATAAAAAGTATCCTTCTATCTAATTCAACTAATACCCTATCTGTATACTAAATTTCATCAAAATCCGTTCAGTTGTTTCGGCGTGATTGACGGACAAACATCCAAACTTTTACATTTATAATATTAAAATATTATTCATCTGGCCATGCCACATCATGAAATGGGGATGGACCCAGCGGGCTCCTTGCCGGATCTCGGGTCCTTCCTCTCCGAGGCTACTCACAGTGAGTTTTTCAGGACGGGTGCGGGGTCGGTGAGCCCTGGTATAAGACATAAGTTACATTTCCCCTGTGTTCAAAAAAGGCCACATCGTCATGTGAGCAGCTAATTTTTTCCATTTCACGACACGAAATAAACATAACTAGCTAATTATCTACTACACACATTTTAACGTAAGAAGGAAAATGTAACATTTTTATTAGAAATGAAACTATCAATAATTTTGAAATGATTTATTTTTGGATTATCTTAACATAATAATTTTTATGTATGTATACACATATATATATCTTGTAATGTACACACCGATTCACGAATATCTAGTGCCTTTAATATTAATACTATAATTAATTTAGAATTTAATAAATAGAAACGATCTGAAGTAAACATAATGATAATTTTCATACCATTAATAGGAGCTATTCAAGCATAAATTATGTATTAGTTTACAAAAAAAAATAGCGATTTTAAAGTATTGGTATTTAGGCCCTTTTGAAACTACTTACGGAATCTTATTAAGTATTTTTCTAAACGAGTAAAGCAGTGACGTCAAGTACCTTTCTAAACACTCAATGCCTATTTTGACTCGACCGTCTCTAGAATATAATGTCAAGATATATTATGTTCTCCTACAAATTTAATTATTAACACATTTAAGATAATACAAACTCGTTGCAGTAGCCATAAAACTTATATATTCAATTAATACATTTATATTTTCTCCCGGGGCCTGCAGTAGTGACAAAGATAGCGATCGCAGTTTTAAATTGAATACAAATATTTATGCAAACAAAAATAAGGTTTAGAAACCTTAGCATGTCACCCAGTGCGGAAACTTGAGTGTCACCCCAAACATTGATTGGCAACAGAGTGTGAAACTAGGCTAGAAAACGGAGCAAATCGCAAAGGTAAATTTACTGTCAGATATACATAAACGTATACTTAAAAACGAATATCATATAATTAGTGGGCGTTAATTATTAACATCTGTTCAGTAGTACAGAAGTCTTATTAGTTCGGTGAATCGGACAAACCGAACTGCTCACACGAAGTTTTATTTAAAAACATATATTAATATTAAATATTAAACAACATCACATACATTGCTCAGATTCCAAGATGAGCTAAGCCCCCGTATTATGGGGTATCTGAGACAACGAAGGTACCGAAGGTACGGTATATACATTGACCCGACCGTGAATCGAACCCGGAACCTCAGAGATAACGACACCTTGAAACAGGCGTGCGAACTACTCGGCTACGGAGGTCGGTTTAGCAGCGACATGACTGCAAGCCCTGGTATATTTACAATAAATTAAAGTACATTTTATATACATGCACACACACGCATACGCATGCAATAGTTTAAGGCCACTGCACATCAATGTCTTAAGGCGCCATTGCCCTCATTCTAGTGTAAATAAACATTTGTAGCATCAATTTATTTATATATTTATTAGACATGTCTAATATTAAATTATTTTTTTCTACTGCGTTTTTTAAACGCATGTATACATCTACGTATACATGATGATCATATTCTTAAGAAAGATGTTTTATTTTGACTCGGTTCAATAGGATGATCCAAGAGATAGATTACATGCATAATAATGTCAAAGTCGTTAAAATTGTAAAAAATACTTCTTATTGAAATACAAATTCTGAATTCGTTAAATAAACTATAAACATTGTATTACTGATTTGTAGAATTACATGTTTTAGGACTTTGAAAATAATACTACGTACACATTAGCGGTCTGCAATTTTAACTGAACATTGCTATTCTATTATAAAAACAGTCTCGTACTTCTAATCAGAGCAGTGCTGTAATAAAAGAGGTCAATCAAATAAAACCTTTTTCAAAAGGTTTTATTTCTTTGAAGCTTTACGTTGCCACAGTGCTGCGCTCTAGGATTTTTGTTTTTTAACAGAATAGCATAGTAGATATATAGTCCGAACACACGAATAGAGAATTTCGTAATGACAGATTTACAGCACGCTTAAAGCCCGATTTACACTTCATTTACATAAGTACAATGGCGACTTAACTGGCTCTATCGAGTTGAAGTTCTAATGCATTTACTGCAGTGCCATGTATTGTTTTGTGCACAAACGTAATTTAATAAGATCTATATTTAATTTTTTTTTATATTCGAAAATATTTACAAACCAATTATAGCGAAAAAGTATATATAACGGATTTGCAATTGAGATGACAAACGAGGGGTTATTTCTCATTTAACCCGCAGAGAAATAAAGCAATCATTGTAATAATGTAAATTCATATGCTTAGATGGGTTTTCTGCGCACAACATTGAAAACAAAAAAAGCAAGGCAATTGCTCGAGTTTCATTTTAATCACGTTTCCGTAAGCGTTGTGGCTAATGTAATTTTCACTCGTAATATTCTGTGAAAAGTTGTAGAAAAACTGCCTTCCTGCGTATTTAAACAATGCACAAATTACCAATGACGATGAGAAAAGAAAAAAAAAATATATATATATATAATCTGATAGGGAGATAACTATTATTGATTGTATCTAATAAAAAAACGTCATTGTGTTTAAATGACAATAACATCTCAACTTGCAAGTCAATTTGCTAAATCATCGCCATTTTGCATTTATTTACTTGACATTGGCAGAATTGTGCGAAATGCGCAGATAAGCCATTAATAAAAAAAGAAGTCCTTTGCCACTGTACTTATTGAAGTGTAAACAAGGTTATAACTAAATGGCTCTATGGAAAGATGTTTTTGTTTTAATATTGTACGATATTCAGAATTTTTAAAATAAGTATGCATGTAAACTGCCCTTAAGTATTTTTAATAGCGTCATAATGGACGGTTTGATGTCACTAAGATGGCATCGAGACAGCAGTAATTTTAATATTGATGATTATTAAAATTAGTAGGTACATTTTACAACATTAAAACATTTTTACTACTTTAAATGTTGAATTTATTTTGCGGTGACCTATTAAAAATTTAATCTAATTTTATATATACGCTTTACCATATATATTATGTTAAATCCTTAAACAGACTCGAAAGCACAGTAGATCCATCTACAGCAAATTATGAAAGAAATATATATACAAAGAAAAAGTAGGTATACAACCAATTACGTGATTCAATAACATACGAAAATAAAATTTTAAAACATAACACAATGGCACTATAATTATGTTAGTTAACATGGCTACAAAAACAACGGCAGAACGGTGTTGATGAAATTATTAAAAAAAAAAAACTTAGATAAGAGATACTTATGATTAGATAAGGGTAAAAATATATAACATTTGATAATTCGCAAAGTAAGCGACACACGTGAGCAAAAAAAAATACCAATATTGTAACGACTTACCTCACCGCTTTCATTAGTTAATATCTAAATTATCTCATTAATGAATAGGCTAAGCACAGATGTAAATGATGCTCGCTCGCCACAAATGTCACATATATATTACGGTCAACGTGCAACCGGCAAAAATTCGATCTCAAAATGCAAGCCGCCACTCAAATTTGCCATGCGTCAACATCAGTGGTTGCCGTTGGCTGCGTACTATTATCGGCGGCATAATAGAGTTAAAGAGAAATCATAAACTATATTTTTAATGAAAATATAACACGTAAATTTCAAACGTGTCATATGTAAAAATAACAACAAAAAATATGGAATTAGTAATAAACTTAAAATTTGCCATGCGTCAACATCAGTGGTTGCCGTTGTCTGCGTACTATTATCGGCGGCATAATAGAGTTAAAGAGAAATCATAAAAAACTATATTTTTAATGAAAATATAACATGTATATTTCAAACGTGTCATATGTAAAAATAACAACAAAAAATATGGAATAAGTTATAAACTAGCGGCTACAAAACATTAGTAATTGCCATTTAAATGAATCATAAAAATAATTTAAGGTTTTTAATTAATAATGTTGAAAATAACTTCATTGCAAAAATAATCACTTTATATGATATGATATAAATTTCTTTTATTTTATGAATTTTGTTTTCGAGGATTGTATCATCCACATCCAATAAAACCTCTCCCTGTAATAGCCGATCTGTCATCAAAATCTTAACATTAAACTCTTCTAAGCAATAACACAAGTACTTATATGTTATATTTAGAAAAACAATATATAATATTTTTTTGAAAAGGAATAAGTTTGTAGGTCAATTGACTGATCAATATAAGCAACATCTTTGTCCTTAGTAGTTTGCACACAGCGTTTTATGATACTTTGTCCAAAAGATGCGATTTAGTTGGGAAATGAAACTTATTACAGATTCTACACGACAATAATATACACTGAAATCGCCTTTTATATTAGTAATACAATAAATAAAAAAAAGAGAAAGCAAATTTTTTTAAGCCGCGCCGGCTTAAAAAGCCGAGAAAGCAAATTTAAACTCAAACATCGTACAGTGAGTTTTGTAATAGTTGACAATTTATAAACGAAATCAAATAGGTAAAATTTAAGTACATTGAATGGCTACAAACATATGAAGTCGACATTATTATGTAACACCAGTGGTAACTTCTACAAAGTGTGTATTACATACTTCAGGTAAGTAATTGGTTATTATAATGTTAATATAAATCCTTATTATACTATCATGAAGTCGTAAATAGCAAAAAAGGGTACTATTTACAAAACTAAGTTAGTGAAACAATGAATTTCATTATGTAAACTTTTACTATACAACATGAAATTGAAATAATGCAAAATCTCTAAATTATTGTTTTACGAATCGGAAGTCGAACCAAACTATCAATTTTTACTTGGAATTTTTTTATTAACAAGAAACTGCATAATGCAGAGTGTATAAGAATATAGTTACACGCTATTTATGCATTATAGTTATATAAAGAAACGCAAATAACTTTTATAGTATTTAATGAAAATAATAATGTAACAATTTTTCATAAAAATTGGTTATTTCATTACACGTTGTATGGCATTGGAATGTTTGTTAGTGTAGCAAATTTAAGTAATTACTAGAAATATTTTGTATTACACGAACGGCCAATAACTTGCGCGCGTTACTTAACATTAACGTGGGTCCATACCTGTGACATTCTCGACGCAATGGATTCAATGAAATTCACAACATACACATGGTAAAAAATTATATAATTATTCGAACTGAAATTCTAGGGATATATGTTTTTCTTTTATTAAAAAATGCTATAAACTGAAAAAAGTAATTACAATTTTCATAAATGAATATGTTTTATTGTAAACATAATGAACGGTAGTCATTCTAGTCCCGAATTTTATGTCCGTGCCTTACCAGGTAAATGCTGCAAATATTTTAAATTTCAATGAATCTTTTCCGAGTTGAAATTGTATTGAGTGTGAAACCATCTTTATGTAAGTTATACAGTAAGATACAATTAATATCGCTCATCGATATCACTGTGCAGAAATCTAAATTTCATAGTGAGGAAATCCCGGTCAATCAAAATCATTCAAGTACGGTGTCATCACGTGACCACGGCCTAGTGTGAGAGATGATCATCAAATGCTTTGGTATTGCACACTTTATAGTAATTGAAATAAGGACCATTATAAATTATAGCCGTATGTTCTGGTAGATCTGCTATATCCAAACGAAGATTCATCATGGGCCATATAATTGGGACTCACTGTAAGTAAACGGGTGAGGTGGTGTGTCGTTTAGATGTTGATTGTGTTGAGAGATTCATACGCGAGCGTGCACGCCAGCAGCTGGCAGCATCACTACTGTGGTGGCCGTGGCAGCAGAGTCGCCCGTACCAGATTGCTGTCATTCATAACTTAGTTTATTTATATGGTAATGGAAAACTATAGCTCCCTAACAATAAATTGAAAACCAAGTCATTGTTATATAAAGAAATACGGTTTTGAAAAAAAAAGTCGAGAGAAAATCGATCAATTAATTTGCAAGCTGATCGAACTGCTGCAGACTTAAATGAACTGAAATAAATATATTTCAAAGAGTAACTTTCTTTTTTATGTATGTCAGGTTATTCAAATCTGTCAAATTACTCAATTTGATTTTAAACCTTAATGCATTCGTGGTAGAATTGATTATCAACTGTCAACTTCACCTATTGTGGTAACCTGACATGCCACTGTGTGTACCAAAAAACTAACATATAAAAATAAACACAGCTCAGGCATATGCTTATATTTTGTTGTAGAAATAATAAGTACATATGATTAGGCTCAAACTGTTCTGTGTTTAAACGTAAGTTTGAAATCAATCAAAGAATAAAATATATAATGTGGTCACTAAATATGTAATTTCATAAAAATGCACTTTTGGGAGTATTTGCACCCTGTGATTTAGGACCTATATTATAATTACAGGTCGTATTTATTTTAGATTTATATTGAGTTCAGATTACAAAAAAGATATGAAAAATAGATTGGTCTATAATAAAATGTACTCACCGGTGCGGCGGCCGTATCAGGGGTGGTCATAAGTGTGGCGGCGCGGTAAGACGGTGGCGGTGTTTGCTTCACTGCCTCTTCATAATCCGGCAGCAGGTTAGAGTAATCCGGCGCCGGTGCCGGCGACACATAAGGCGGCGGCGCCGGAGCGGCGCTCACCACGCCCTCACTCGATATAACGAACGGCGTGAGACTTTGTAGGGCGTGAGTGCGCATCGTCAGATACTTGTAGCAACGCCAGACTACGTTGATGCAATACGCCTGGAGAACAAATAAGATTGTTCATATAAAATGAATCCAAAATCCAGAAAAAAATTGAGTAACAAAATTTTAGACATTCCAGAAATACATTTTGACCTGAAACACAAAAATCTTTTTACTGTCAACTCTTTTCAATTCTTACTGTGGTTAAAAAAAATCCAAGTAAAATTTGAATAAACAATATTATTTTTAAGTTAGCAAAATTGGTTACTTGACAGTGATAACAATAAATTGTGAATTATGTTTAAAATGGTAACTTATACGAAAACAATAAATATATAGTATTCTTTGTTTAAGTATATTTTATTTTTGCAACATTAACTTGATATTTATAACCTGTGGACTACAAGAACCGAAACGCGTGCGGCCATGACGGAGCATCGTAAGACGTCACATTTAACCCCTTATATCCCAGGGGAGATGTGTTACTAGACTAGTTGTGGTTACTTGACTGTTGTGTGAAAAGTATTATAAATTTTTCATATGATCATATTATATTAATTATTTGAGACGTGACATTTGGAGTTGTGACGTCACATCTCAATAAACATGAGCACTGCTTGCTACAAAGACGTTGACGTTTAGTTTAATATGGATACCTTAAGCAAAACTGCAACGAGGAATGCGGAAACTACGACAAGAGCGAGAGCTGGTGCTGGCAACTGCAGGAGCTGCGCACGCCAAGGCACGCGTCTAGTCTCCGCTACAAGACGGTGGATAGAGCGCAGGTAACAGAGGTATCCGGTCGCCGTAACACTAAACAATATACATAATATCTATAATTAGTATAAAACCAAAACGATTCGCAAAGCTTTTAAGGCGAGGTTGTACAACATTATCACTTTTGAAACCAATCTTATTCTAAGGCTATGCTAATATTTGTGAAATAAAAATTATTTTATGAAAATTAAACATATGATAGATTGCTTGCTAAAAACAGAAACATAAATTTCAATAATTGGCTTGCTTGAAAAAAATTGCAAAGACGACTCTAAAGAACTTTCAATTGATTTTACGACTAGTAAATTTCATTTTAAATGTAAAAAAAAATATACAAAAATAGGTTTTGATATATTCTTTTTACAACAGTTTTTTTTGTGTTTTAAAGTGTATGAAATCAAGCGAGTGCGTTTTTACTCTCGTTGCGTATTTGTAAGAAAGGGCCATTAGCCATCACGCGGGTCCAGGTCAAAGATGGTGCTTCGTACCAACGACTTAACGTTCCAAACCACAACGGAACACGAGATAATAGATTTTTTGTCACCCATCCTATGACCGGTCCGCGCGAAAGTTGCTTAACAACATCAGCATCACAGACCGATCACGCTAATACGTTACTACGTCATCGTCAGTGTAAATTAATAGGTATAACTTTTTTAGTCCAGTTTATAGATCGTATCAACAATGTTAGATTTTTTTGACAAGAAAAACAATATTCATTCGTAAGGTGATTAAAAAGCGGGGTCGCCTACGTCGTATTAATTTGTTTGATACTATATTTTTTTCTAACTCAAGTATAACTTATTACTTATCTGCTGGAGCAATTTTGTATAGTGACATAAATAATTTTGGAAAATAAAGATTATTATGCTGTTTATTTGGATAATACTTACACTGTGATCGCGAAATCAAATATTTGCAAACAGAAGAAAGGCAGGAGGTGAGCCGGCTTGCCGCGCGCTGCGCCATATATCAGCATGAGTGTGATCGCCAACGTGCACACTGTAACCAGTGCACCCACATCGACATCATCTATAGTTTGAACACACTTCATCATTAATATCTATTAATGTAACTTACAAATGACTAAATCAAATCATATTGTGTTAATGAACAGGGGATCAAATAATAACTAGATAAAATAATAAAATTGATAAAGTTTAAAGATTATACACCAAACACTTGAAAATAATAAAGATTTCTATTTATAAATCAATTAACAAAAATATAATGTTTCAACATTTGTTGTCTATGTTTTACGTCAAATGAAATACCCATCAGACGTGTGACGTCTTTTGTGGGTAAATTGGTAGAAAAACTATCTAAGAACGCAGGAAACATTCAAATTGTAAGGCGATTTTAATGATATACTGAATATTTAATAAGTTATAAAAGGTTTTTTGTGTTTTATTTATTTGTGAGTTTTTAAAAATAGTTTGAGGTACATAGTAAGGCTTATTTAATGATAATGGAAATAAGCATCCACACTGAATAATTCAAAACAAGTTTTTGAAAGTTGTCCATTCCCCTTTTTTCATCTCTATTAAATCAGACAATTTTTTACAAAAAAAAGTAAAAACACTTAAAAAATTATCAAATAAAAACTCACGGTAAATTAGAGTATGATCTTTTGACTGTGTAGTATGTTGTAAGTTGATGGGTCGTGGCTCCACATTTGATAATGGAGTGGGCATTTCATAACGGTGATTTCCAACATCGCTCCAATCGGCTTCAGTTGCTGAATCATGTTCAAGCTCATCTAGAAGTCGCGGATTACGCACAACTGCGGCTAAAAAGCCTAGAGCTATGAGATGTAACATCTGTTAGAAGAAAAGGAAAATATTTTAAATATGGGTGTGGTTAGATTCCATAGTGACACTAAATAAGGATAAAAAGTGAAAAATAAGCATCAATATGCATGTAGAATACCAGTACACAATGTTAACTTTATGAAACAGACTGATATACTGCAGTATCATATTTAAACTACTTTATCATAACGGATTATGCATATTTTTTTTGTAAAAAAAAACCTTTAATAATGGTGTAAAAATTAATTTAAATTTATAATTTAAATTCAAACAAGATCTTTTTGTTTCAAAAATTTTAACCTTTAGGCATACACACACAATTATTTGCACTAATTAAATTAAGTTTCTTACAAACTAAATAAAAGTAGTAAGAGTCATAGTGTTACAATTTTTCTTTGTATAAAACATAATATCGACATGTGAAATTCAGGTAAATTTAAACAAGCTTATTAAATTCATATTCATATCTATTGTATCCTGTTCAATATAACTACAAAAATATGTTTAGCTATTAGAGTTCAAAAATGTCTTAACCATCAACTATAGAATGCCCTTAAGCAACTTAATTTAAGGATTAGTTAAAATTCATTAACAACAAAATGTCATCTAAGTGGCTAAGATATAAATAAGTATAAAAGCTGTTGTTATCCCTAATAAGTAAAAAAAAAACTTTCACAAGGACTGCTCATAGTCTTCTCATGCTCAGAGCAGACATTAAGTTGTTGGTCAATGATTAGTAACCTAAAGGTTTTAAAATTGTTTGTTTAATGGAGTTTCCTAGAAATTATTTTAGCTAAGGATTTTAAAAGGCTAAGAAAGATGTTTTCCTGTAATTTTATGATTTGAATTGAATAAATCATGATTCTTTTTTTCATTCAGAAATTACAATCTAATGATCCATACATTATAATAACAAAGATATATCGCTACCTCCGGAGAATAATATGATAACTGCAAAAACCAAAATGTTCAGGAAAAATAAAAAACCGATTTTGTTTAATAACTCTTTTGTTTGAAAAGCTATCCCGAAAAATGATATATCAAATGAAAGCTAATTTTTTTGCGTAACGATGTGAATTATGTTTCGTGGAAAAGCACTTACAAGAATCGAAAGAATCGCAAAAATAAATATTAGCAAAAATCCTTCCTAAAATGTTTTAAAATAATACGCTATTGTCATGTTATTCTAGTAAAATCACACTTATAATGTTTTACAATAATAAACTATTGTCATGTTATTCTGGTAAAATAACCAGAGAGAAAGTATGTGCTAATAGTCGATTAGAATGTTATTCAGGGTAATTTAAAAAAAATATCCAGGGCTCAAAATAATCTTTTTAATGAATATAAAACAAAAACTTCTATTTTTTTTTTTTAATTTTTAAACTAAAGACAAATACTTCTAAATTAAAAAGAAAATTATTAGACTATGATTTATTAATTATAATTGGATCAATCATCATGGGACTCATCATGGGAATCAAACTATGGGACTTTTATAACTAAGGTAATTCGTCCTCCTCTTCTAATGATAATACTTCTTGATCTGTCGATATCAAAGACGTATAGAATGAATGATAGTGCCGAGGTATAGCCTCACATGAACACAAACTCTTTAAATCGTTGTATAAAGCTTTAGTAACTGGAATCAGTTTACTGTAAGCACATTTTAAGTCTTCAACATCATAAATTGCAGTCGAAGCTGCTGCAGTTTTTCGACCACGGCCGACTCGTTCCATAACTCTTGATGAAACTTCTGTGTTTAAAATGGAATAATCATTATCAAAATCATACTCATAGCGTAAAATTTTTGGTTCGTTGCTAAACACCTTAACTTCCATCACTTTAGACCATAAAATTTTATTGTCTTGTACGTCTCGCACCCAATGTTTTCCCGCAACAAGAACTTTAATGTCATAGAAATTGGACTGTTCCATTTCTTTAACTATAAATATATTGCCGGTAGCCTTTGCATTTTGAATTACATTTGATCTGGGGTGTATATCTTTTTATTTTTCTCTTTCTACGCAAGAGTGCATACTGTCAGCCTCACTTTGCCCGTGTCCAGTTTTAAAGAATCGATGTGTGATATTTAATTAAGAGCAAATATGAATTTATTCTTATTTTGGCCTGCACAATCATCAGAATAAAAGGAAATATGTTCAATGCCACGTTCATGTTCAGTGTTCAAAAACTGCCACAATCAACTGCCAATTTCAATTGCTCCTCTTTTTGCTAGTTGATAGTGCCACACGTAACAGAATCCTTGTCGGAGCACCGAGTTATAGACAGTAAAATTGTAAATTGGATATTTCCTTTTGTAGTGTAATATTTCTACTTGAGATTGTGGTATACTCAACACCTTCTCGAAATCGAAAATTGCAACTGTACTTTTATTATGATCAAGGTTCTTCTTTTCTTCCTCTTTCAGTTTCCAAACTCTTTCTTTGTTTTTTATATATTTATCATAGTCTTCTTGCAACAATTGTTTCTTGTCATCATCAGCTTGTTTATATAATTCACACTTACCGCATAAATCTTTTTTGGGCACAAAAAGGAGTAATTGTACTGAGTATTAAACACAGTTTGGTATTGTCTTAGTGTTCCCATCTCTATGTCTTCATCGTAATTTTGATTCTTGAACCAATCTTTATAAAAACGATACATTATTGAAATATTTAAGTATGATGAAAGGTATAGTTTTTGGGATTTTTCTCTGACATAATGTGATTCAATTGTGGGGAATAGTTCAATATGTTTCTTTATACTATCTTCAGTATACGGTCATGAAAACCATCTGCAGATTGAGCTTTTTCTAAAGCAGTATATATAGTTTGATGTGTTACATTCAATGTATTTTTGAAAAATAGTCTACATACTTGTAATTTTGTGTTATTTATGGGTAAATAGTATTTTACGCTTTGAATTATTTTATTCTTGCGGTCTAATGTCATACGTTTTATAGGTTCTGCTGAAGTGTGTTGCACTATAAATTGCCATTGTCGTCACGATCTCCTAGTCTATAATACTTAATATAATACTTTTTTAGCTTAATATTTAAAACAATATTTTTCTTAGATAATGATGTAATAAGTTTACGTCTGTTTACGTATTTATTGTTGATAAAACGTAAAAGAAATAAATTGTGACAGATAATCGTAGATGGTTGTAGGTAATTATTAAGTTTGATGAACATACCTAAAAAATTTATTACTTACATATAGAAAATTTTTGTCAAACCGGTGGAGAAACCTATCTAAACTGTTGTGTTTGTACAAGAATACCATGCTAATAGCATATATCAATACAATCGCCTGATTTTCTTACGCGAATAACATGATAAAGTAACAATGTCTGCGTAAACAGTTATATTTATATTGCTAATGTATTAAATATTGTTGTTCTAGGCATAAATAAAAACATTGAATTCGTTGAATATCATGCTAATATTTTGTATCTTTGTAAATACTCGTAGGAAATATCTGGAAAAAATTCACAAGGTGTATTGGACCACGAGGAGCTCAAAAATGCAATAACACTAAAAACATGACAATCGTTTTTGTCATATTATTCTCCGGAGGTAGCGATATCACAGTGATTCAACAGCATAATTTATTTATACAGTTTTATCAAACATTTAGACAAGAATTGGCATTGCCTTTAGTTGATGCAAGGAATCCTAGGTACTATGGAGTTTTGATAAACTTTATAAATAGACTGTGCAGTCAATTCATCTTATCTTATGTGGTTGTTTGTGTGGTTATGTGGACCAGTTAGAATGATGTGCTAATAAACTCACTAAGTGCCATGTTCCCAGCAGAATAGTTCCAGTTCGCACATGGAGACAAAAGCAGCATCTCCATTCCTTGCTACGTTCACTTCCCAGTTTAGGGCGAAATCTTAACATTTTAACTGTGAAAATAAAATATAAAATTTATATTTACAGAAAGGATAACAATTCATCTAAAACTTTTATAGGGATTTTACTAAAATAAAATGTAGTCATTTTGCTAAACTATCTTAATTAAACATCAATATTAAAATGTCATTGTTTTACACATTCTAGAAACACCTGTTTAATCAAAAATTCATCATCATTATATATTTCCATGGCAAGGTAAATACAGTTAGGTATATGATGCTACAATATAATAGGATAATCTAAGGGGAACAAATCGAACAGCAACAGGATAATTGCAGATGCAATACTCGAAGTAGTTAAAATTGAAATATTTTTAGGGAAAATGTCATAAAATCATACAAAATTTTGTTATCGAGACTACTTTAAAGATCACTATAAAAGTAAGAAATTCAAAAGCGCTATAGACTCTTAATCAAAAGTACAGTCCTTCTACTTAAAAAGTGAGAGCTATGAAGATGTGTAGACTGATCACATTCATCAAAAATTAATTAGATCATTGATGAAGGCTCGAACAGCTTGACAGCATAAGGAGTATTGAATCATAGTTGATTGAAGTCATACCTTTTCTTTATAATATATGAAATTTGTATCTTACACCTCTACACAAATTTTATACAATTTCTCTAAAAACACAACTGGATCGTTAAAGAAACAACAACGAACGCACGAATGGCACGAATGATACAAAATACGAACCAATTGGGAAACAGGATTCCATCAAAATTTAGTGGTGAGTCAACTGGAAGTATTAACTCAACTTGCACTTAATCGAGTTGACTCGAGTCGGATATTCCTACCTAACTCAAGTATGAAAAGAAAAAGTTTGTTTTTTTGCTCAACTTGTAGTTCATTAATATATTTCGCATATAATCATATCACCTTGGATTATATATTTTTTAATCTATCTAATTTAAACATGATTTCATAGAGTAATCAATGCGCAGAATGATTGATATTTGTAGGAACTATTAGGTTGAATGTTGGTCCTACTGGATAATGGATATATTAGCGATGGTACATTTCAATGTACCCTCAAATCAGTGGATTGACTATTAAACAGACAACTAAATAACCGCATCGTACTCCGCACCGCACCGCACCATAAGTAGTACGCACGGGTATAGTAGCTAATAATATGGCATTGCGTTAGAAATTAATCGAATAAGTAATTACGGTAACCGCAGCGTGTCACAGTCGCCAGCTGCAAGGTTTAGTTGTTAACAACAATCGAAAACATCAAACGTAATCGACTTTTATCAACTAAGCTAAACAATCGACTAATTAGATTATTTAAGTAATAATCACCCATCGTTACACTGAATCTTGTATCGATAGACTGTTATGTTTCATTATGCTTATAAGCATTTGTGACCATGTAAGTAAACATCAATGGGTGATTTCATCTCAATTTAAAAAATATATGTACCAACTGGATAGGGATCAGTGATTCATTAATAATGAGTTACAGAATATCAAAATCTAGCTTAGATTGCTTGCTCACAGAGCTCTATGAACAATTTATTTCGGTTGTTCTTAGAAGTTTCTACAGTTACAGATTATGGGCGCTGTTCGTTTTGGATTGAATTTGAATTTGATCTGGATAACAGTAAATCGAGTTAAAAAAACTAGTGAATCGGGATCGGAATCCCTATGTGCCATGACAGTTCCATCCATGACAGTTTTTAGGTGCGTGTGACGTTTGTGGACGTATAAAAATACTTTTAAGTAAATTGTGGCAAATTTGTAATAATAATGGACAAAATTCCAGACCAAATTGGTTATTTGGTGTTAACTGAGGACGGCGCAGTCCTGGAATCAGGTGGGGAATTGGAAAACGACGAACGTGTTGCTACTATAGTTACTGATCTTATTTCCTTATCTGGAAAGTGAGTATATAAAATTGTCACAAAAACATGGGTACAAGATAGTATATAATGTTCTGCAATTTAGAGTGGGTGGTTAACTTCTAACGAACAGTTTAGGTATTATACAATGACTTTATTTGGGTGAACGTTTTACAGTCGTATGTATTCTTATTTTACAGAGTCGATCCTGTTGGTTTTGCCTCTAATGAGCTATTCAAGAAGATTTCTATAACGTATGACGATCACTGGTTTGTTATATGTCTTTCCAATAAAAAGGTTTATGTTGTTAAGAGAAGCATATCATCATTGACCACAGAGGGAAACGCTGTCAGTGTTTGATGCTTGTTGTCAATAATTTACTAAAATGGGACGAAATTTATTAATGAGTAGTTTGGAAAATGCATCATTCAATATTATATTCCAAATTCTGTTCAGATGTATCACTTTTATTATCAACGCCTGGGTGATTAGAAATGTTGGACATGAAGTCCTGGGAATAATGAATGTCAGATTATTACTGTTAGAAAGCACTATATTATTTCTTAGCAGAGAACCTTTTAATAGGGCTTGTTTAGGTCAGAAAGATGCATTGAGCTGGAATCACATCATCAATCAAATATGGCTTGCTGTACCTATTAGTTGTATTTTGTCATTACTATTTGTGTACATTTGGTTAAATATTTTACCACTTGGTCATCCAGAACATGCATTCCAATACACATTTGGATGCTGGAGTGTAGCACTGTCCTGTGTTCTTGAACTTACTTCTGCAAACATGGCCCTAGTGGCTCAACTTTTTTGTTTTATTAAACTGAAAGTGGCTCTTGATACTCTACATATTTTTGTCCGAACCATATTGTTTTTGTCAATAATAATGTATGACAGATCATTAGCACTAATAGCATTTTCAGTAGCTCAAGTTGGTAGCATTGGAGCTATAGTTGTAAGTTATTATATTTTTTTCTACTGGTATATTAAAAATAAATCGTTATATGCAAAAGGTGCATTGAAACATAAATTATTATCTGATTCTATGATGCATAGACTATACGATAATATGGATGACTTTCAATTTACTTCTATCAGAGAGTTCTTTCCAAAATATTTAGGGTCCATAAATGCTACATTCAATAAAAAATTAAATACACTCACCATTAGTTTTGCAAAGCAAGGTGTTGTAAAACAATTATTAACAGAAGGAGAAAAATATGTTATGTCCGTAAGTCCCGTCATGACATTCTCAGAGCAAGCCACCTATGATGTTGTTAATAATTTGGGTAGTTTAGCAGCTAGGTTTATATTCAGACCTATTGAAGATAGCAGTTACTTCTATTTCACTCAAATGGTAAGCAGAGAATTACCTTTGCATAAACAGGATCAGCATAAAGTTCAAGAGTCATGCACAGTACTATCTCAAGTATGTAAGACTGTGAGCTCTATTGGTTTAATAGTACTAGTTTTTGGCCAAAGTTATTCAAAGACATTGTTATTGTTGTATGGTGGAGAGGCATTTGTTGCAAGCGGATTGCCAGTTCAACTGCTTAGAAGCCATTGTTTAGCCATTGTATTGTTAGCCATTAATGGTGTTACCGAATGCTACACTTTCGCCACCATGACAAGTGCACAACTAAATAGCTATAATTATTTGATGGTATTTTTTTCAATAAGCTTTTTGTTGTTGTCCTATGTGTTAACTTATATTTTTGGACCAGTTGGTTTTATAATATCTAATTGTATTAATATGTTTGCAAGAATAGTACATAGTATTCATTTTATCAGTAATAAATATAAAGATACTGATCATAAACCTTTAGAAGGATTGTATGTAGGTAATTTCTTTTTGTTAACCTTGTTTGTTGTCGGATGTGTTTGTAAATTATCTGAAAATAAACTATTAAACAGTTCTATTATCAGTCACATATTTGTTGGTGCAGTATGTTTATTTTTAACCCTTTTAGCATGGGGTTATGAAAACAAAGGTCTTGTTATTAAGATGTATAAAAAGATATTTAGTAAAGATGTTATGAAAGTTTCAAAAGACTAGCATTCGGTTATCATAAAGTTACTGTAAGGTGTAATGTATAATACTTTGTATATATTATGAAGAATTATGTTATTAAATAAATAAAATATCACTTAAGTTAATTTTTTAATTTACAAATACAAGAACATTTTTTGTAATAATAAGTGGATGTCGCGAATGTATGTTTGTATACAGATAACATTGTATTAGTATTGAAATGGTTCAAGTAGGTCGAAAACTAAATTGAATTTTAATGATAACAGCATATTCCTGTATCCAAAATATGTCTATTTTAGAGACAAAATAATTTTTTTCACGGTAAGTTTAGTAAAAAGTGTAAAAAATATAGATGAATGTTTTTTTGACAAATTAAAAGAAGTAGGTAAATAACAAGCATTTATATATATTTCTTTGTTCTTTTTATGTGTCCCGCTGGACACTTACATTGCAAATAATGTTTTATACCTCTTATATCAATCAAGGCTGATGGCTTAATTAACATAGTTAAAAGACATCCCTTGACGACGCCAGCTGATACCGTTTCAAATTCCCAACCATCGTGTTATATTTAGGTCAAAAGACACGTAAGGATCTTCAATTTCATTACATAGGATAAAAAAATATACCCTTCATTTGTGATTCACAGATACGTTTGACTTCATCTGTAAAAAAAGTTACTTTGCTTTAAAATATGCATAGACCAAAAATTACGTCTAATGTACGTAATTTTTTACAAATGGCAAACAATAACAATTTTTTTACTTAATCTTAAATACATTAAGATTGAAAATCCATTGCAGATATTTGATAATAGCTGCACGTATTAAAGGGTTAATATCGTTTCGAGTCACTAAAAGGTTTAAGTATTGTCAAAGGTTACTCTATTATCAAAATGTCTCTTGACGACGTTGCTTACCGGCTATCTCTTTAAGATTGGCATTTTTCTCTTGTATTATAACGTAAAATTCCCTCTCGTTTGATGATTTGCCTGTTATCCAGTACTCGTCAGGCGTTTTAATAATAATTTCTCCATAACTTCCTAAGCTAAAAAAGGGTAATAACTTTAAATATTTTTATGATACATAAAGGTTTTCAGGCAATCCAACAGTAGCTAAATTGCTAGACCGAGCCGAGTATGCCCTTACAAAAATATATTATCATAATTACCTTTTGTGGTCGGTATGCATATCTGCTATAATACTTAATACTTCTGGTTTGATACTTGCTGAAGGTATTAGCTTACTCAAGGAGGCCTAGAATGAGAAGTTTTATATTAGAAGTCAATTATATATATATATTAAATAATATATATTTTAAAGTGAACACAAAATGAAAACATGTGACAACATATAGGTACTGATTTGGTAATCTACATCCTATTAATATTATAAAGGCGAAAGTTTGTAAGTATGGATGTATGGATGTTTGTTACTCTTTCACGAAAAAACTACTGGACGGATTTGGATAAAACTTTACAGCAATATAGGTTATACATCAGAATAACACATAGGGTACTTTTTACTGGGAAAACTTCTCACTCCCACGGGATACCGACTTCCACGCGGACGAAGTCGCGGGCGTCCACTAGTTTACCATACAATATTTTGTTGAAAAAAAAAAACTTTATGGAACATTTCTCATCCTATGTGTTTGATAAAACTTTGTTTTTTAAATATTTATGTATGGTCAACCGCACACAAGGTTATACTAAATAACTTTTAAACCTTAATGTGTCATTATTTATAACGTATAAATTGCCAGATTAAGCCAGTGGGGCCTGTAGCGATTTTATGATTTGTCTGAAAAGTTTTATTAACGGTTACATTTATATTTTATTGTAAAAGTAACCGTTAATACAACTTTTCAGACTCAATTTAACTTACTATTTATAGTGAGTAGGTATCAACGCGCGCCTTGTTTGGTAAGTGATTTATGGCTTTTCAAAAAATTGTGGTCATTTTGCAATCTCATAATACCTATATCTTTCGTGATGACGATAAAGAATAATCGGAATCAGTCTCTTTCAGTAGTAATCTTTGAAAATAAAACAGATAGGACGTCCTTTGATTTCCGAATACCACAATACAAGTAATCTATGACTCGAGTTTTATTTGTTTATACAAAATATGAGGTTAGGCAGAAGCGTATTTTATTTCTCGCAATTTTTAACACTACGGCAAAGTTAATGTATTGACTCAGACCACAGCGAGGCTCCCCGAACGCGCGGGGCCTGTAGCATTTGCTATTTTTGCTACGTATCCGGCAGTGAATTATGATCTATCACTGGTGGAAGGAAAAATGAAATTTTTATAGGGACCATGTGCTACTGAAGTATAATTATAATGTTATATACTTATAAGTATACTTTCAATACTTAAACAAAAGAAATATAATCCGTAGGCATTCACAAATACTGACGAACACTTACAGAACTTTTGTAGGCCAAGTTGAGTCTATTGAAGTATACGAATTTCTGATCCGTGTTGAGTAATTGAGCAGTTTGTAATGCGTGGATAGCACATTGTTCGCTGATAGTGGATGCTATCGTAGAGAGATGTGGACCTATGAATGCGTCCAGTGATCTGAAGGTCTCTATCTCTAAAGGGATGTTGACTGTAATCAAAACATTATGTATTCTGCGACTGACGTCAAAACTTATGTGGGGTCATTTACACTAAATCATATCCTAATTCTCATGTCATCACCAGCCTTTTAAAGTCCCCACTGTTGGGTACAAATCCGTAATAGCTTTAAAAATTCGCCAGTTCTGCTGGATTTCGGGTAGCTCAATGATTAGAGCAGTGATTCCCGAAGTGGTCCAGGTGGACCCCCAGGGGTCCACCTGGACCACTTCGTTAAAGTTTATAAGTTAAAGTTTATAAGTATAGGATTGTTTATGTAAAATTGATCGAATATAATACGTTACATTTAAATCATAATAACATATGGCCAAGTTTCATAATTTTAAAGGCTAGTTTACCATTTTAGTTACACCATATTGAGCTTTATGCTGTTCCAATATAGTATACTTTACATTGTTACGGATTTAGTTGTATGCGTGTGATTAATTCCGTTGGTGTTAAGAATAACACCTGTTTCACTTTGTTTTATCATTACTGTGTTTTTAAAAAAAGTATGAAGGTTTATTGTAAAATAAACCTTCATACTTTCTCCTCCAACTTCTATCCTCCATTTCCCATTGGGCCAGTGTTAATCATCCATGAGGAAGGCCTGGGCCCCTGCAGTGGGGACGTAAAAGGGCTGATAATGATGATGATGAAACCTTCATAGCAAATAACGGTATATACCATCAATTGTAAAGCAAACAGTAGCACTCAGAGCTCTGTATATAATTAAATAGTACTGTCTCGTTTCTGTATCATCTTCTCGAAGCAGATGTACTTTGACCAGCTTCTTTAGATCCTCGCTGGTTCTTATACTATCAGCTGGACTGATGAACCGACCATGTCTTTGAGCTGTAGCAACAGCACCTCCTTGAATCTCTTTCTCGACTTGTTTAGGTAACAATGTCTGGACTAAGTATTGATATAGTGTAAGCATATCATTTGTAGCAAGTCCATTCCTGAAATAATATTATGTTTGCATTAATGACGACGATCGCTGTAAAGTACGTAAAATCGACTACACTACATTGGGTCTATTTCTAGGTGAACATTGTTATGTAGGAATAAAGATGCAATAAATGCATACATACTTGTGTTCCTTACTTTAAATTATATTAACATTCTTTTCCTTTTTTTAACTCAAAAATATACAAACATTAAAAAAATGATGTCTATAGGTATGTTGGTATTTATCATATACCTACAATTTTACATACATTTCATTTTATCATATACCAACAAAACTGTAGGCAAAAAAGTTGTCTACTGATTGTAAACTGTATTGAATAATTGATAGTGTGATGCAACCTCAGTTAAATCTCTATAAATTTGTAAATGTTGGGATGCTTCTAGCTATATTTTATTAGCTTGTTAGTTGGAGTAATTTACTCACTAAAACAAGCAATTTAATGATTTAAATATGAATGTGTTAACATATTAATGAGTTTTGCTGATAGAAACTTACAAAGGGATATTTTAGAGATAAATATTAGGTTGGGGAAAAAGTCTGTTCACATATAGCATGTATAAACTTGTAATAAAATCTTTCTAGCTATACCATAGTATCTGGCTGGCTTCGGTATCAATAAAAAATGTGAAATGTGTTATTTTCATCTGTTTTCTTAATGTTAAAATGAGTGAATCTAATGAAGAAATTCGACGCATTTTAAAATCTTATTATAGAAATGGTAAAAACGCAACGCAAACCGCGAAAAATTTGTGACGTTTATGGACTTAGTGCAGTTTCTGTGAGAGTACAAATTTGGTTTAAGCGTTTTCAGTTCGGAAATTTTGATGTCAAAGATGCACGTCACTCCGGTCGCCCAGTTACGGATAGAATGGATGCTATTTTTGAAAAAATTGGAGCAAGATCGGCTTATCGGTAGTAACGACGTAGCTGAAGAAGTGGTGATTGACCTGTTGGTCAAGTTGTTGTATCCAGCTTTTTCAAATGTGCTAAAACTGTTGTTTTGGCACATTTTGGGATTCTTTATTACGGCGTAAAGAAAAGAACCATTTTTGAAGAAGCTGATGACTGGTGATGAAAAGTGGATCAAGTACGACAAAAACGTGCGAAAAAGGTCGTGGTCAAAAGTTGATCAGGCTTCACAGACTCTGGCGAAACCCGGCTTAACTCGCAACAAAGTGATGCTGTGTGTATGGTGGGATTGAAAGGGCATTTTATAAGCTGTTACCGCCAGGCAGGACCATCGATTCTGAACTCTACTCCAAACAAATAATGAAATTAAAGCAAGAAGTTGAGAGTAAGCGGCCAGAATTAATCAATAGGAGGGTGTGGTTTTTCATCATGATAACGCTAGACCTCACACATCTTTTGCCACTTAGCAAAAATTAAGAGAGTTTGGTTGGGAGGTGTTAATCCATCCGCAGTATAATCCTGCACCTGCAAATTTCCACCTGTTTCAGTCTTTTCAGATTTTTTTGGCAATATCAAGTTGACATAAGACAAGGACTGCCAAAACCACTTGGTTTTTTGATCAGAAGCCTCAAAATTACAATAGCAATAGCATCATATCCCTACTTACAAGATGGTAAAAGGTTATCAAACAAAATGGTACCTACATACTTTAGTTACATGTAAATAATCTTTATTAATAAATGTTTTAATTTATCATGTAATATGTGAAGAAAACTTTTTTACCAGCCTATTAATTTTGCTACATGAATACAATGAAGTTGTAAATAAATTTGATGTATTTTTGCATCAATTTAAACCATTATCTCAATATCATACTCACCATATCAATTGATCATTATAAACAAATGCTACACATTTGAAGTCTGGATAAGTGACCTCTAACAAATCAATGAAGCAAACTATTTTGAAGAAAGAGTTCTTATCTAAAGGTAAATAACTCACTCCTTGAATTACATTTGATATATCATTTGTGAGATTCTTAGACATTATATACTGAAATATAAAATTGTAATTATGAATAGTATATATAAAAATATAATGTCAAATTCTTCTAACAATTAAAAAAAATATATATATGAAAATATGTTTCAATAAACATAAATCTATTTAGTTGTTTATAATTCAGTAGCTTAATTACATACTGGAGTGAAAAATTCATCACATAGCGAATAAATGTCTTCAATGGGAATATCTTTGAAAGGCCCCATAAATAATTTGAACATTTTATAAGCAGATACCAGTAGATCATTCATGACCGATGGGTTTAGCTGAAAAAAAAAAAAAATAACACCATTAAAAAGTTTAAAACTCAAACAAATCTGATGTAACATCTAAAATACAAATTATTTCATCATACCACTTCCCCTTGACTTTCTCCAATAGCTGATGATGCTTTTGTGGCATAGGGTATTGTAACTACCTGCATAATGAATTAAGTTGAATGATACACATAGTAGGTCATCAGAATACCATAAAAAGAAAATTCTATATTAAATATACACAACATACATTTACGTCTATAATAGTTATAATCAGAAAAAGAAAATATAGTTCTGTTCTAACCTGATGGAGAGTATATCCATATCTTATTTTAAATAATTTCTCTTTGATGGTAATAGGGTTGAAAAATAGTGATATTTTTTGTTAAATAACATTAAAAATAGAGTTACTCACTAGAACCATCCAGAAACCTTTTTCAGGTTGATAAAATATATATCTTTTTGATTGAGTTTGAAGAGCCTCACATGGTCCAGATGAGAATGTACTGAAAGATACAATGCAGTTGTATTATCTCATGTGAGTGATATTATATGAAAATAATTCATAAATATTGAAAATAATTTGTAAAAAAAACTTTTATTAAGTTATATATTAGTTACATTAAAGCAACAGAATACTCTCACTACAGTAGAAAAATTGCTAAGTGGCATTAATAATTGTAATATTTCAGTATTTGGCCCACTATCTCTTTTTATGTTTCTGATATTACCCTTGATCAAGAAAATTGTGTGGTTTGTAAATTATTACTGAACTTACGACATAAATTTCACTACAGCTTCGCATAGGCCAACCTGGTTTTTTCTAGCATCAGCACTGATTTGGTTAGGATGGAAGAAAAGCACTCTTTTCAACTCCTGTACATAAAAATACAATTTTGGTTTTGCAGCTAATTGTTAATAAAATAAACAACCGCTAACCTTGTAAACTTACTTGCCCCTCTTTTGGTCCAAAAGAAGAGTTAAAAATGAAAAATGAATTAATTTTTGCTTTCACATCAATCATTTTAAATATTATCGCTAATTAATTTTTTCTTCATGGAATTCTCTTGATAACATTGAGCAGATAATTATATAAAGATACAAATATAATTATTCAATTTTATTTTAGCAACAAACAATACTTTTACTAAGCAAAACATAAGCGAAACAGTATTTATTTTGTAAAGTGTCATTTGTGTCTGTCACATCTGTCACTGTCACTTAGAGGTGAGTCGTATTTACTAGAATAGATCCACGTATCAAGTATTGTATAATAGGTACCTACTAGGTGGAACTTTCTTGACTTGTTTAACCTAGTACATATTGTTGTAAATTATACCGATTTTCGACACTTAGGCGGGATACCTTGTACTGAGGAGAATCGGCAAGAAACTCAACAAGGGCTGCTATTTTTCTCCTTGCTTTATTTCACACCGATAAGTGTTATTGGAATGTGACTTAATTAGACCATGAATTTATTTATTTAATCCACACCATCTGTGTGGACCTGTAAATGGCTTCCTATAGTCTATTTAATCGCTATGTATTTGTTATAGCTGTTGGTCTTCCCAAAATAAATGAATAAAAAAAATAAATGAAGTCACTTTCCATTATATAATTGCTTAAATTTTATATCTTTAAATTATATATTATATAATGACTTAAATTTATAAAATAGTTAACATTAAAATAAAAATGTTTCCACTAAGTTTTCTTTAGTTAAAACGAGGAAGTATTTAAAAAAAATAGTTTCCGAAATCACTATGGTACGTTCTTGATTTCTCCATGATAACCCTTTTGGTTTTCTTTCGTGTATAAAAGTAAATTAATTTTTAAAACTCAATAAACAGCTTATATTCTATTTGTACTTTTTCGTATTTGTATTGGTATCTAAGTTTCGAACATTGCAAATTTCAGTTTTATACATATTAAAATTTTCTTACATATTAAAATCTTTGGTTCATTCGTTTCCTGCAAAAATCAACTTTTGCTAGAGTCGCCATCTAAAGAGGTGCTTTTTGGTGCTTTCTTTTATTTTTAAATCATTGACATTTAGATCCTACAATTTGTGCTGCCATCTAGTGTCATAATATTTTGTAGTTTCTTTATTTCTTTTAAATACTTCTTTATTATAAATCTATTTTCTTTGCACATAGGTGTTATAATTTAATTTAGTGTTAATTTTTTTTATAATTAAGATCATACTTAGGTACCTTAATCTGTTTTAAGTTTTAATTTTTTTTTTACTCTAAAACCAAATCTAATAAAAATTAAACATAATTATATATTAACTTTATATTTTTATGTTTTTCATTATTTTGCACACATTATAATTAAAGAATTTAACGATACAATGTTAAGAAGGCTATTTATAGTGGAATAATCTTTTAGTACTATCAAGGTAGTGGTGGTTTTGCTTACTATCTAGGGGTTTTTAATATAAATAATTGGACGTAGTTAATTAAAAAGGATCCATTCCACACAATGTCACTTTTGAGATATAAACGATTGAAGTTTAAACTGTATTTGCATGTTGATGTAAGATTTTTGTGTATTATATTTTTATCTAATAGCATAGAAAACCACTTACATTATCTTATTATAATGTCATTATAACAGAACTAACAATATTTATTAAATTATAAAGGTTAAAGCATGTTTGGATCCTTTTTGACATATTTAGGTTTTAGTTACCTTATTCTTACAAAACAAATCTCAAAAACGATCCAAATGAAAAAATAAAAGTATAATTAACTGAAACGCCAAAATTTAATAGTAAAAACTATTTATTAAATGTTCTTTATATTTATTGTTTTAATTTTTAATGTTAAATGTATTCTCACTATCTTAAATTACTTACCACCTTGTAATAAAATTACCTTTTAACGAAAATGATTCAAGTGTTTTGAATTTTTATTGTGATTTTTAAACAAGATTAGTGCCTTTAATTTGCTAATTTGCTATTTTACTATATAGATCCAAGAAGCTTGAGTTGTTTTCATGGAATTAAAATATGAACCTACCGAAGATGAGGGTTGGTTACTATCATTGAAAAAAAATGTCAAATATTTAATACAGCTTAGAGCTTTTTTTCGTATATGAAAGTATAGATCCTGATGGACATTTTGGTACACTTAACTCATTTTCGACCAATATGTGGGTTGGATCAAAACAAAATGTTATTTAAATGAAACATAAGAAATATTAATTATGTTTAAATAAGTTAAGTTTCTTATAAAGCACTTATTTTTAATCTCAGCTGCTTCTTATTATGCTTAGGTAGTGCAATAAGGTTTAATTTGTTTTAAAGCTTTTGTTTTAAATAGTTTTGTTGTAAATAAATACTCAAAATACATTTATAACACCCAGGCCGATATCTGGTTGTATTGTTGATCGAAGCGTTAACAATAATGAGTAAGAAATATGCTTACAAAATCCACTTTCGTGAACTACGTAGTGGATAAGCGCCGTGGCTCGTGATCGTTGTTGTTAATTAACTTTCTCAAGGGTCGGTCACGGGATGGGTGACCGAAAAGTGTTATTTTTTCTTCTGGATACTGCTATCTCGAAATTAAATGAGAGATTCGATTTGCTAACGGAACACAATTCAGTTTTTTCGCTCTTCGAAAACATTGAATGCTGTAGTAAATTAGAGATGCATGAAAAAAAATCTCAATGTTCTCGGCTCCAAGAAAAACTAACATTTAAAAATAGATTTGATATTGACGGGGAGGATTTATATAATGGATTAGAATTGTTACCAATATTTTGACCCAATGCATCAATAAGTACTCCTACTGATATTTTAAGCTTAATATTTTCTAATAATTTAATCTCCTCATTTCCTAATATCTCAGCATCTCTACGTATATATTTGACATTGCCTGTTATAGTAGCTGAAGGTGAACGATCATTTTAAAAATTACAATTAATAAAAAAAGTATCTTCGGTCAACCATGACCCAAGACAAACTTAGGTATTATAAGCATAGAATCCAAAATTTATATAAAAATAAACGACTTAATTAAAATCTTTGCAAACTCAGAAGCAAAAAAAAAAAATGAGTTGAAATGCTGGTTTTGTTCGCCATTACAATTACTGATAATTGTAAATACCTCATAATTCTATTGATTTTTAACTTAGCTTCCTTTCTTTTCTTTGTTTTAGCATTCTTTTTCATGTTAAAATAAAAGTATAATTTTTAGAAGGTTCATCGAAAAATCTTCACTTTTCAAAGAGGTAGGTAGATTTTCTAGTGTTTATTCTTGTAAATGGACAAACGGTCCGTTGCACAAACGTTTATTAACGTCTTTAAGCTCTAATTAATGTCAAATTTGTATGGGTAATGTCAATTTAAACTAATAAAAATTTAAATTTACGTTTATGCAACTAGCTGATAATGTCTGAAATAGAGAATATTTTTCTTTAATTTTGTATAATTAGTTTGTACAATTCATATTTAATTTTACTTTTGTAAAATTACGTGTATTGTGTTATCATGGTTGACTAGGACCCCTTTCATACTGCAGTGTATGTAGCTCCGCACCCCGGCGCCTCGAATGGACTTATGACGGCACTGATATAGCTGTCACTGTTTAATAAATTTATGTTTCAAACTTTTTACCTGTAATCGGGTTTCAGTTTTTGAACTTATTTTTTTATGTTCCATATGCAAAACAGTTTGCCGTACTGAATTAACAAAAGCTAGAATAAGTTTAGAAAAGATCAGTATTTTTTATTTGGCATGCCGTGATAATATGTTGTGTTATGTAGAAAATATGTTATCACTGTCGCGATAGCGATGATTTTCGATTTTAATGACTAATTTTTTATTTGAAGTATAATACTAACATTTTCAAAAGTCAAAAAAGACTTGAAAATTTTAGTTTTGGAGATTATTTTTGGAGAAAAAAGTATTATACAAACACCTATAAGTGAATGAAATGTATAAAGGAGAATGGAATATTTGTTTAATGTTAGGATTTACGATGAAATTGAGGGACGCGCTTTGCTATGGCAACGGGATTATTGTTTTGAAACTGTCAAGATCAGAGTATATTTCTTTTTCGTTATTTTACATTATTATTGGCGTTTTTTTATTAAAATTACTAAATCAGATTTTGTAGGCATATAACACTATGGCGATACGTAATCCAAGATTACCACTTTTACCAGGATATGGCTCTAATCCACTCGTAAGTAATCTTGGAAATAATAAACGTAATTTAATGTTTTTGGAGACACATATTACTTACGATAATATGTGTTTATGCTTGATTACAACCAAAAGAGTTATAAAATGTAACACCTTTTGTGATTAGATACTTTATTTCAAGAGCGGGTCCAGGGTGGATAGTGATGAAGTCGGCCAAGGCCTAGTAGTCCAAACTTCTAATTAACATTGTTATACATAATGTTTTTATATATTTATAACTTTCAAAATTTTTATTAATTTAACATAATACTTTGCTATTTTATCAAAATTAATTTCTGATGACTTGACCACAACTATGAGACTCCACCTGGCACCCAGTGCTGGATCCGATCTTGTTATTTATGAATCAAAAGCCCATGTGGTGGGTCATATCCCACATGGGCCCTGGGTTGCACAGTTTAAGGGCCATAGGGAAGGCCTGGGGACATTTTTAAGCTGGTGATGAGGACATTTCTACAGCATGTTGCTCAGATCCCAAGTCAAAAACAATTAAACGAACTACGAAATCAAAGCAACGAAAGTGCCGCTACATTCAGGTCCGAGATAATATAGAAAGTTGATTTTCATAGTGACCCATCCGGGAATCGAACTCGGGATCGGCGTGCGGGCCTCAGTCTTCCCGAATGTCAAAAATATTGAGATGCTTCGAAATATAATTTTATTTTATTATTAACAACATTTACCATGAATTTCCATAATAATTATAAATTTTATTAAATATGATTAATAAGGTAACGAAAGTGCCGCAACATTCAGGTCCGAGATAATATAGAAAGTTGATTTTCATAGTGACCCATCCGGTAATCGAACTCGGGATCGGCGTGCGGGCCTCAGTCTTCCCGAATGTCAAAAATATTGAGATGCTTCGAAATATAATTTTATTTTATTATTAACAACATTTACCATGAATTTCCATAATAATTATAAATTTTATTAAATATGATTAATAAGGTAACGAAAGTGCCGCAACATTCAGGTCCGAGATAATATAGAAAGTTGATTTTCATAGTGACCCATCCGGGAATCGAACTCGGGAGCGGCGTGTAGGCCTCAGTCTTCCCGAATGTCAAAAATATTGAGATGCCTTCAAATATAATATTATTTTATTATTAACTATGGAAATTCATGGAACATTTACCTAATATTATTTTATTAGGTAAATGTTCCATGAATTTCCATAATAATTATTAATTTTATTAAATATGACGCTCAATAGTGCAATGGTAAAACGTTTGGTTTGCGATACTGTTATTATTTTAAACGGTGTACATACGGTTGCTAAGCAATGTTCGTAAAGGCGGGACGAAAGATGGGTGACCAAAAATAATTATCTTTGGCTCCTCTGTGCTTCAAGAAGGCACATTAAGTCGTTGGTCCCCGCTGCATCTGCAGTGTTTAACACCTAACAATCCGCACTGAGCCCGAGAGGTGTGCCACGGCCCAATATCTTTATTTGATTCCATCCTTAGGGAAGTATATTCAATCTTTTCTTAGATCGGCAAGAAGAGTTTCGGGGTACGACCGGTGTTTACATCCATAAACAAAGTGAACATGCTCGTCGACAAGGCCGACTCAGAAAACCGTGTGCCTTCACTCTACGGACGAAAGCAAGCACCCGACCTACCGACCTGGATTATGTACGACAAAAATGTATGTATCTTGGTTTAGTGGAAGCTAGAATTTTAATTATGTTCCTAATAAGCAAGTCCAGCTTAAAGTTTTTACATATCTAAAACACTAAAAAACTAACTTATACCTCGATTTTTAACTAACTTATACTTTAAAGTTTGTAGAAGTTAATGTTTGTGCATAGTGTTGCAATAACTGCTGGGTAGGTTTCCAAAACGGAATCAGTCCTGAAAAGCTACTCTTAACCCATTAAAGGGTTCGTTAGATAAATGTTCACGAACTTTTAAAGTTGCGTATTTACAAAGATAAACGCTACCACAACGGTAAGCGATGGGTATATAAATGCTTTCTATAAAAATATAATAAGTCCGTGATGAATACTATTAAGGAATAATAAGAATAAAAAACTTTTGACAGTATATTTTAAAGCATTGACAATTTTAAAAGTATATTTGTATTTATTAAATAGTTGTTAAAGTAAGAAAGCTTATTTAACAGAACATTTTATGTAGATATAATAGATTTTTACAGGGCAAAGTGGCACGCGTGGCCATCTCCTCTGTTTCACATGAGAATAGGTGTTTTCCTTATTTAGATGAGACTATCTTTCCTATGTTTCATGGTTTTAAAGCTATTAGTAAATCTAAAAACTTACTTTTTTGTATTTCCAATAAGATACTGCGGTTCCAAGCGTACTTCCAACAGACACTTCAAGAGATGAGAAGTGGAACAAGTGTCTTAAGAAAAGTCGATATATTTTTCTTTTTGGAAGATGGTACTATTAAAGTTATAGAACCGAAAACAGAAAATAGTAGCTTATTGCAAGGTAATATAATTTATCTACAAATGAAATATATACATATATGGGAATGAGTTACCTAGTTGATACAGCAGAGCCTTTACTATTATGAAAACCTTTTATATATTGTATATAGTCTGGGTGATTTAACTATTATCGGTCTATATTATTAGTTATATTTAGTTGCTATGTGACACTCGTCTATTTTTATATATTCTATTCGAACACTATGTAAATACTTTCTTAATAATCGACAAATGTATGTCTGCGTAGTCGAGCATATTTGTTAATGTGTAAGTAGGTTTAATTTTGTGGCAATTTTACTTTTAGTCTTATGGTAAAGAATTAAATCAATCTTAAAAAAAGTTTAGATACCTCGAAAATCTGATTTACGAACAAAAACAATACTACAATGACAAACTGCTGTATACAAATATGAAGAATCATATCTATTAACATTAATTCGCTATCCAAGTACCTGTTGTAACATCCAAAGATTATGTTTTACTTAAATATTTAGTTACATCAAAGGTAGTAAACTCAAATGCTAGCAGAATATGGGTTGCTTGATTTCCTTTAGCTATAGACATAAGCTAGTGATGGTACGAAAACCAACTAGACTGCGAAGAGCTTTCCAGATGATGGATTCTGGGTTTTTACCTCATTTGCTCTTACGTTATTGCGTTCATACTAGTAGAAATAAGGTTTAAATCAAGTGTACTACATGTCATAGACATTGTGATAGATATATTGTTGTTCATTTTAAGGAACGATGATGAGACGACAAAGGATTCGCCTACCGCATAGTTATGATTTATATTACGACGTCCTTGATCTCAATATTGGCCGAGAAGTCACTTTCTTCGGTAAAGTGTTCAAGGTGAATTTTTTTATTTAACTTTCATTAACAGATGTGTTATGATATTAGGGTATAGTTAAAAATATTCTTTTGAATTCAACAGATTGTTAACTGTGATAATTTTACAAGAGTATTCCTTAACCGTCTCGGGATAAATGTACCGGATCCTATACCTTGGCCTGATGCTGTAGAGGTAAGTTGTAAGTTGAAGATTGTCTATTGAGTATGTCCTCTTATTTAATGCATTGTATTTTTCAGCATGCACCAGCTGCGGGTAAACCTCCAAAACACAGGCCTTTTAGACAGTTTTTAGATCATGATAGACAAGTTTTAAGGTAATCGTTGACGTATTTTAATTTGTGTTGATTCCCGTTTGTATTTTTATGTTGATTGCTTTAATTAACAGGTTTTATGGTTATTGGGATGATCGAGATTCGGAATTTGGAGTTATGCATTTTTTGGAAATCCATTATTTTTTGGCAGATGATACTATTGAAATCAAGGAAACTATGCCTCCTAATTCAGGCATGGAGGCAGGTCCTATGTTTTTAAAAAGAATGCGCTTACCAAGGGTAAATATGTATGACATATTTTTTTTGCGCTTATTTTATCATATTTTTGGTATCACTTTAAAACAAGTACATATAATAATAAAAATTTTTGATAAATGTATTATTGAAAAATTTACCTACCTAGATGTTACAGTTAACAGCATTTTAGACTATTCCATTTGATTTTAAACCTTAATGTTTTCAGAGTGTAGTTTAAAATTGGACATATTGTGGTAATCTGACATGTAGCCGTGTCTACATGATAATTGATACGATATGAAAGAATTATATGTTATTTGTATGCACTCTAAATAATGAAATAAATTTCAGAAAATTCCATCTCATGTTGTAATGACCGGTGGACCTAAAGTGCCGTCTTATACTCCAGGAGATTTGAGCATCGGAGCGGTACTTAACGTTTTCGGTCGCAACGTGGTTCTTATCGATTGCGATCAATTTACCAAAGAGTATTACAGAATCACTTATGGATTTGGTACGATAATAAAATATGACTTGTAAAGTAGAAAAGTGTTATTACAAAAAAAATAAACACGCGTTGAACACGTGTTTAAAAATTGTTCTACTATACAATTGTATTTAAGCATTGGTTAAGGCAAAACAACCCTTAAACATTGTTTAAAATTTAAACACATGTCAAGGGTTGTTTATTGAGTATCTAACCTTTCACAATATTTCACTATAGTTTTACATGTTCTGACTTTGATAAGAATTATGTCTTTGAATTTAAGTTAAAAATGATAATTTTAGATTAAATATTTTCAGTTACAAAAATTATTAACTAGTGTGTTTATAAAGATATATTTTCTACGTCTAAAATTTATTATAAGTTTGTATACAGCGTGCATAAAATTGAACGTATGAACGAATGAATGCCAGTAGAAAGAATGTTTCTTCGAAAGAACTAGTGTTACTTAGACAATGTTTGAAAATGAATTTGTAATAGGGAAAGACATCATTTTAAACAGGGTTTATATTCTTAAACACAGTTTAGATAAACACATGGTAAAACACTGTTTAACGTCTCTTTTGTAATAACACTGGAAGTGTTTAATTTAGATCAATTTTGATTCCAAAACACTTGAAGTATTTTCAAATGATTAAGACAGAGATTTTTTTTCAGATACATTTACTCCTTTGCCTATTCCAACGGATAAGGATAAAGAATGCGTTAGTACAAGTGTTGCTGACAGGCAATTGCCTCCATGGAATGGATACGGTTCATATGATGACTCAGCTGAGAATTGTAGGACAGTAGAACCAAAAGCTCCTCATAAAGATTTCATAAAATTCCTTCATAAAGATCGGTGTGTTTTATTCATTTTTTATTATGTTTGGTACGGAAAAGATCTACACATATGACGATTTTAAATGTGGTTTGTTTTAGAGTTGGTTTCGACTCTCATATACTAAGATTTGCTGCTCGTCTTATAAGCGACGAACCTGTGGATAAAAGAAGATATTTTATTATTAAATATTTCCTTTGTGATGATACAATTGGCGTATTTGAATTAGGGGAGCGAAACTCTGGTTTCAAAGTGAGTAATTGCTGAGAAAAAAAGCCTTTCTGTTTTTCGTAGATTTTTTTTTAATTGTATCGTGTATGTTTCTGCATAGGGTGGGAAGTTTTTCCGTCGTGACAAGATGTACTTGCCGGATGTAGAATTCTTCGTTCCCAAAGAACCCCCGTCGTACACTGATAAAGATATGTGGGTCGGTAACGAGCTGGTCATCAATAAACACCGATTCCGGCTTATTGCCGCTGATGAATACGCACTGCGATATATGGAACTGCATGCTGAACAGGTAAGTAGGATTTAGTAGAATAAATTTGGGGATAAAAAGTATGATGTCAATTTCTCAATATAATTTGACTTACATGAAATTCAAGGTTGTAAGTAAGCTTAAGCATGTGTAAAATTTCTATCAAATAAAACATACCTGTCCATTAGTCAATAATTTCTATTAAATATAAATAAAGACAACATCACATACACTATTACTTACACTCTTTTTGACTAGCTCTTTTCCTGTGACTTCGCCCGCGTAAATTATAGCCCTTGTCATCTGCGTATGATATAACTTCCCGCAAATTTATATCTGAAGAAAATTCTGAAAGTTGCTTAATATTACCATACAAAAATTATATTTCTTTGATTATATGCATATTTATTAATCGAATAATAACTTTTCTGTTAGTATCCAATGGCGAACATAGCACTGATAATGGATAAAATACGCCGTACACTTGCATCCCAAGAAAATGGTTACAAAAATTTTGTTGCTAAATATATGGAAGCAGTTCTCCCAGATAAAAAAGAACTCATGGCCGTAAGATGTTTCAAGTGAGTACCAATTTTCAATGTCAATATCAGACACTGGAATAAGATTAAGAAGATTACCCTAATCTCTTGTTGAATACACGTTGATTATAATTTTCATTAAATATTGACAGTTATATATTTTCAGGCAAGCTCTAAAAGAAGTGATGTGCGAAAAAATGACAGAGCATGAATTTCTTACCCTGATACGATACTTCCGAGGTGACCCCGGAAAAGAGAAAAGTCCTAGGCGTGAAATGATACGGTAATGAGAAAACTAAAAATCATTATATTCACTTAACCAAAATTTAACCCTGAAAAAATATAATTAGGTCTATAATCATATTTTATTATTATTAAATTCGTCCGAGAAATAACAGTGCGAGCAATATTTATATAGTGGACATATTAAGAGATGGAGATATAATTTGTTGTCCTTGATAAGTATGTGTTGTGCTATCGGAACGCATCCTAATCTGTCATGTAGTCGTTGGTGAATGTAGCCAGAGGAGAGATATATACTCTTTGATTTTCTGTTTAATGGCGCCCTTACGGTTTTGTAATAAGTCTTAATAAAGTGGACTTATATTAGAATTACTGGTTGTTTTCATTATAATACAGTATGTTGAATAATTCGATTGCGGAGGTTGACAGTAAATTGTCCGCAGCAATTCTATAAGGTTTATTCAGATTGAGTTCATAACTGTTACCTTAAAGGTCCTTGGTATTTACGGAAATAACTCGTGGTCTATGGGACGACCGCGACCGACTTCGTGAGGGTCTACTGCATGCGGATGAGAGCGGAACAGGCACTTTGTCTGTGGACAGGATGCGACAGTTGTTACGCGCTCACCGCCTGCCTATCAACCCTGACCTCATGGACTGTATGCTACAAGTGTATGTTCATATAAAAACTCATCAAAGCGGGTCTAGTGCTTGGATTTCTTGTATGTTAACATCAGGTTGATTACGTTGGAAACTTTTTTAATTAACGAAGCTAGTCGAAGTTTCACAGCATATTTAAATATGATTAAGCGTCGATGTAAATCGGAACGAATGTCCGTCAAGCGTCTCACAGAATTAAGCGTTAGTACGCGACAGATTTCACGTCGAATGTGCGAGGTTGAATGATGGAATGCAACGTATTCTTCCTCAGATATGTACTGTATATATATATATATATATATGTTTATGGTGATAATGACGTAATAATAACTGTATTACAATGTAGGCTAGTGCTAGGATCTGTCACTCGTATTTATAGTCGAGAGAAGTGATTATTTGAGAAAATAGGATAACTTAAACACAACAATAATAGCTAATAATATTAGTAGGTTATCTTACTATTAACAGATTTAATTCATTCAAATTCTGATTTATATTTTTACTCGGCTTAGTATTAGAGTTCGAGAAATCTAAAAAATGACGAGTACTACCATAGACTATATACCTAAGGACAACATCGCATAACCTAGTCTGATCTTCTCTTGTTGTTAAAAAAATATAGTTTTGAATTCACTGTTTTGCAGGTTAAAAAAAGATGAGAAGTGTAACATTCAGTATGAAGACTTAATGGCGTTTCTGGACTTCCAAACACGACCGGTATACAACCTCAGCGAAACGGACTATGAAAAAGTAGTTAGGCATGCTCCACCACTCAAAGACACCGAGGTAAATAAATAAACCTACATGTTGAATGACATCCAAATACTGTTAGATGATTAAGAGCGTTAACTCATGGCTCAGTTATACTGGTCGATGGTGTGTTGACGATTTTAATTCCTTGCTAAAATATATATGGCATTAAATTTGTATTTAACTACAACGTTAAAACTTTTATTATAACAGCTATAAACATAAACGCACAAATAACAAAGGTGTTACAAACATTGCCCAGACGCCCATACTTTTTCGATACCGTAGCACTGTGTGACGTCAATTTATAAAATCAAAAAAAGTTGTCAACTTGGCTATTATATTTAATTAGATCAACATTTTTTTGTATTTACAATACACAATAGAACCCTTTTTTGTTTCTGTCGCAGCCAATTTCGCAGCCAATCAAAGTTAGATCAACTGTTCAGTTGGGCGGCAAGTAATTTGATTGAATAGCGGCATTCAATTGCGCGCCTAGATTTCTAGTTGAATCATTATGACATTTGGACCGTTCAACTAGACATCTGATTTTTAAAAACCGCCAAAATGTTCATTTAGTTTTGTTATGTGTTTTAAAAAAAAACTTCTCGAAATATAAATTTTGAAAAATATTACGTGACCTACATAACCAAAATAACCACTTGGCTGTGACATTTTCAAAGTTCTTTGGTACGTATTTAATTAATATTTTAGTTCTGTGATACGATGAAAATAATGCGGTAAAGCATCTATTTGCAATATTTTATGAATTACGCCAATTGATTGAAATAATTAAAAAAAGCATTTATAATAATATATAAAAATTGTGTTCAGTGCAAACGATGGGCTGAAGCAGAGTTGAATATTCAAGAAGGATACGTCAACTGGAACGCTTTCCTCTGCCAATTGAATTTGGAACATCTCGTAAAGGAACAAACTTAGATTATTATTTTAATCTGTACTACTTTTAGAAAGTACTATTGTTATATTTATTTTATTTATTTATTTAACACTTCATGTACATAATACATTGGCGGACTTAATGCCTTAGGCATTTTCTACCAGTCAACCAGATGGATGATGTGGAGATAAAAGGTGGTAGTGTGCACATTGTACAGGAGATATAAACAGAGGAAATAAGACCTATAACAAAATACATAAACAATACATATATACTTTCATAACTACATATACTAATATAATATATAATTTATATATATATATATATATATATATAAATAAATATATATAATATAATGTAGACGACTAACGGTGTAACGAATTAGCCTGTTCCAATAGAAAGCTACGCAGCTTGTTTTTAAATGTAACTTTGCTGGTGGACATTCTGATGTCCAACGGAAGTTCATTCCACAACAGAATCGATTTAACAAAAAACGAAGAATGGATGGTATCGGAGTGATGCGATGGACACATGAGCCGCAGATTTGAGGAGGAGCGAAGGTTTTTGGTATGAGTGGTACATATGTACCGAAATTGCGACGTGAGATAAGACGGAGCATTCGAAGAGTTCAGTAAGGAAAACAGAGTTGTAAGAGCTCGCATACTTCTACGCTGTCGAATGGTCATCCATTTTAAGTGAGATCGGTATGCGGACACATGATCATATTTTTTAAGATTAAAAACGAATCGAATGCAGTTATTTAGAAGTCGGTCGAGTTTATTTAGTAGATCTGCATTATAAGATTTTTGTCCAATTAATGAGAAATTGATTTAAATTTTAGCTTAATGCATTTTTGTTTATTTGACAATTCTAGCTTTGGTGCACTTAAATCCAGTGTAAAATGCGCGCATGCAACTTTAACAAAACTGGCGATTGTGAAGTAGGTACTAAAAACATTTTGTCGCGAGTAATCATAGTTACGCAGTATCAGTCCATTTTGGTCCAATTTATGTGCCGCGCGCTGTGGAATGGTGAATGTGTTTGCTCCAGATATTATAACTTTACATAAGAGTTCTATTTTTTTAGACATATGACCAAGTTTGAGTTTTCTTGACTAAATATAATAAATGATCGCTTAAACATATATATTTAAAAATCAGCGAATCTTTAAAAATAATGTCTTTTTAAAAATAACTTTGCTTGTATTCAAAACTTTAGCGAATTGGAAACTTAACTTTTTGTGGGAGACTATACTTTTATATAAACTATAAAAAAATCATATTGTAATGTTTTATAAATTAAAGAATAAAATATGGTTTCTAAACTCTGTATTTTCTCATCATCACAATAAATACAATTAAACGACAACACAATTCCATCAATATTCTCACTTTTTTTTCGAAATAGGCTTATTACATATTCACTGTTGTAAATATATTTTCACAACATTGAATATGACCTGTGATGTTATATCTTACAATGACATTATAATGTGATAATTACGTATTAAGTATTAGTCAAAAAGTTTTTAATATCACAATTTAATTCATCGTACGTCAAATAAAATATTGTTTTACAAAATAAATAACTTAAAACTATACACATAACTAATTGACTTCATTCTAATAGTATTCGACCTTCATTTTTTACAAGTTTTTATTTTATTTATTCTTAAGTTTTTTGTTTCGTGCCTCTTCATAATCGATTCTTTGACTTGGCCGTTAAATTCAAAACTGAATTCGATACTGAATAGTTGCTTAATCAATAGATATTTTATTTATCTGTAAATAAAGAAGGTAGCATAAGTTGTATCAAATTTAGTTTTAATATAGATATTGGCACTAGGGCAATTGAGTTTATTATAACAATATTGAGCATAACATATACTAAATATTGTTTTTAATTGGTTAAGGTGTTAAATTGCAGATGAATTAATTTTCGTAAAATTGTGAATTTAAGTTCAGATGTACACCAAGAAGAGTATAAGGTAGAGTATTTTTTAAATGGTATGCCTCTAATATCATAAAATATTGCTAGCCTTTTTAAGGTAAAATGAAAGCTCAAATGTCTTTTATTGGAAAATAAGAGTGTATAAATAATAGAGCTCGGCGATAGTGAAAAAATGTTTGTATATGCAGATTATTTTATGACATTTAGGCAAGTATTTAAACTACGTAAGAATATTTCTTTTATATACATATTTTCCTCTTGATCTATATGTTATATGTAAATCAATTTTAAAAGCTTAAAGAGAAATTTTAAAACATCTGAGTCTTTTGTGAGATACATGGCACAAAGTATTCACTTGACCTTGCAATCTTTTGTTAACTATTAAATTTATTATAATACGGTCAATACTTTCCGGCTAGCAAATAATATAAGTATATAATATAAAATAAGTATTATTATAAACGAGGTAAACAGAATATTTGCGAAACAAAATAAACATTAAAAAAGTAGGAATTCTATTTTATGACACTGGACGGATTTTTAAAATATATAATTTTTTTTATATAAAATTTCTAACTAACGATATACATATTTACAATTGAAATATTAAATTACCTATCTAAGTCGCCGCAACAGTTATTATTGTTTCTGTCGTAGTATTAATGTTAAACCAGTCACATGTGTCCTTCATGGAGATCAGTACGCAGCACTTTATATGCTAATACACTACACATTTGTTTTTTTAAATCACCACATATCTTTCACTCTTTCTGTGGATGGTATTTGTGGTCGAAATCTGTAAAATAAACTCTTTATAAATGAAAATGAAACGCCAAACGTGTTGCTAAGATCAAAACTCGAGAACGGTTGAAATGATTTGGTTAAATTGGGATTAAAAAAATATATATTTTTGAGTTCTATTTAACAAGCTTTAAAGTTGAGGAGTGGGGTCCTAAACTTTAAAACCTGTTATCACTCGCTATGTCACAACTTTGTAGAAGATGTGCAAAAGCATGACGGCATGTGACATTTGAATGTTTCGCTATTATTTATTGATTATGCAAAAAACAAAATAAAAAATGTATGCAACATCATACATAACATGCAGTCGGAAGACTGTGTGATGAGCTGTGAGTGATGAGCGTTGAGTGGTGTGTGGTGAGTTATAAGTAATGAGTGTTGAGTGTGGAGTCATCGAACCTGTATGGTGGAGAGGCAGGCGTGACCGGTGGTGATGTGGCGAGGGGTGACATCTTTATGGCGGTACTGTTGCCATTGATGCTTGACCCCATACTTGACGCAGAGTCAACCCTGAAAAAAATGAATGATTATTAAAATAACAAGCTATATAGATACTTTTTTTATATTCAGTCAATAATAAAGAGTTCGCTAATAAAAGACTATTATGGTATTGCGTGAGTGCATTCGATGACTAACCCCCTGTTCCGTAACGAAACAGATCATTGATAATTGGCTATACAAAGACAACACAACTGTGGGTAAAATTTTTATTGTCTATGGGCAAGGCGATTAGCTGTCTTCGTTCCAAATCCCCACCCTTAATCCTTGGGTGACGGTTTACTACTGTGATTTCAAATTGTTAACTGCGCGCACCTAATTTTGATTGAGCTTGGTGAATTGTTCGTTATCGAGAATAAGGACATTTCGGAAGAACGGTGGATCAGTGCCTATGGACTATATATCGTGTATGATATATTCGCTGGTAACCGCGTCGACGCACCCCGTTCCAGAACCCAGCCCTCGGAACCCGTGGCGGTAAAGGATCGCTTGCGGTGAGTCGCCAACCCCTGCTTAATATCGTACATAATTTCTTTTGATCCGTTCGAACCGGATTGCTATCTTTCAGTTGTGTTGTCTCTAAACAGTATTACGTACTTATTATCATGGATAGTGACGCAGCGAATTCGAAGCAGTCATCTTTGTTACGCAAAATGTCTGATGATGAATCGCCGTGTGAACAAGATTTATTCGAACGAGATCTTATTCTCGATGAGTTAAAACGAACATTACAGTTCGCAGCGACAGATGTCCAACAGTTTCGCTCGCGAACTACTGATTTAAATTCTCACCAACGTAAATTCAATAAAGTTCAAACTAAAATTGAAAAAACGTTAATCAAGTTAAGGTCTTTTAACAAAGAGGAACAGATTAAGATACGCAACGATTTCAATGATTTGTACTACGCTATTATCACTAATTTAAATAATTTAAAGAGGGTGGATGAAGAGCAACGACGTATGAGTCGTCCGTTAATAACGCCTTTAGTTCAGTCATCTAATTATAATAAGAATTTACCAACTTTGCCTTTGCCTAATTTCAGCGGCGATCCTACGGATTGGCCTTCCTATTTCGATTTGTTTCGATCATTAGTCCATTTAAACAGTGCCTACACAGAGGCGGAAAAATTCCGTTACTTATTACTTACGGTACACAACGAACCCCACAATTTAATTAAATCTATCCCTATTACAGACGAGAACTATTCGGTAGCTTTAAATATTTTGATATCTCGTTATGAGAATAAAAGAGTTATTGCCTCAAAACACCTTGACAGAATTCTCGACATCGAACAGTGTTCCGATAGATCGTCTCAAAGTATACGTAATTTATTAAATGTCTACCAAGAAAACATTAAAGCACTGGAGATTATGCACTTTCCCGTAAGCGAATGGAGTTTTTTGTTACTTAGCATTTTGTTACGAAAAATACCTATTAACACTCGTAAATCGTATGAACGTTCTTTAACTAATTCGTCCGACATTCCAAACGTTAGCACATTGATTTGTTTCTTAGAACGCGAAATATCAGCTGAGGAAATTATCTGTTCGACTAACAGCGGACAGTACAATAAATTATCTAGTGTGGCTAATGTGAATATGCGCCACCGTCACAATAATCGCGTAGAAAACCAGTTGCAGCAACGGCAACTTCGTTCGTTTGCTGCTAATGTCACACCAGTTTCAAAACCGTCGAATGATAATCGGTCTTATGAACAGAATCATAAGAATAGAAATTGCTTATGTTGTAATGCTCAACATACGTTGACAAAGTGTTCGCAATTTTTAAACTTATCCCCTCAAGATAGATTTGCTTTAGTTCGTAAGAAAAATATTTGTTATAATTGTTTGCATTTTGGGCATGATGTGAATCAATGCAATTCTAGTTTTGTCTGTCGTACATGTCATAAGCGACATCACACATTAATTCACTTTTCAAGTAAATCGTTACCGATTACTGATAATAAAATATCTGCAAATAATGCAGTCTCGCTCCCACCTTCAGTGGTAGCTGAGATGCCTGTAACCGCTACCACGAATGATCCGCAGTGCGTTGCTCCCGCCGGTGAGAACGTGATTCATAATTGTTGCGCGTCCAATGCCGCGTTCGCTCGTACGACTACGGTGCTATTGTCTACGGCACTCGTCGACGTATGCATAGGTGCGGTGAAAATAGCGACCGTTCGCTGCATTATAGACACTGGAAGTCAGGCGAGTTTTATCACTGAGGCGTGTGCGCAGCGTCTGGGTTTGATGCGCGGGCATGTTAATGTTTCTGTGTTCGGTATAGGCAATAGTGAAGCGGCGCGTAGCCAAGGATTTATAAATTGTAATATCGCGCCTAAGGGTAGATTAGAACCCTTAGTTCCGGTAAATCTTTTAATTTTAAACAAATTAATTTCACAAATGCCGAGTATGCAGTTACCGTACACTGGTTGGCCTCATATAAAAGATTTAAATTTAGCGGATCCCGCTTTTCATACGCCACAGCCAGTGGACCTGTTATTAGGAGCGGATATACTATCCCATGTGCTTTTGAGTGACGTCATTACGGGCTTACCTGGTTCACCGATAGCAGTAAATAGTATATTCGGTTATTTATTGTTAGGTAAACTAGATATTGTTTCCTCTCCGTCTCAACTTCAAGTTTGTTTTAGTTCATTTGACAATGACAACCTTCAGAGATTTTGGGAATTAGAGTCACTTCCTGAAAAACGGAGTTACACTCCTGATGAAGAAATATGCGAATCCTTTTTTCAAAAGACGCATATACGTGACGCAACGGGGCGATACGTGGTCGCTTTGCCTTTTAAGCCGGAGGCTCCCCCTCTAGGCGAATCCCGTCAAACTGCACTTGCGCGCTTTCGTAAGTTAGAGTTTCGTCTCGAGCGAAACCCGAAGCTTAAGGAAGACTATCATGCCTGTCTCCAAGAGTATCTGGATATGAAGCACATGGAGCCCGTTAAGGGCGAGCCGACATCAGGGGCCACTTATTATATTCCGCATCATTGCGTGGTCAAAGAATCCAGTGAGACCACTCGCACTCGAGTAGTTTACGACGCCGGGTGTAAAACTTCTAGTGGCTACTCATTGAATGACATTTTGTTGACAGGTCCTAAACTTCATTTAGATATAGTTAATGTTATTTTAAAATTTCGTATTCATTCAGTGGCCTTCACTGCTGACATCAAACAAATGTTTAGGAATATTTTAGTTCGAAAGGAAGATAGGGATTTTCAGCGCATTTTATGGCGGAAGTCGCCTGATGAGGTTATCCGTGATTATCGTCTTTCTACAGTCACATTTGGAGTGAATTGCTCTCCATATCTGGCTCTCCGAACTATCCAGCAATTGGCTATAGATGAGGCTTCACGATTCAAACTTGCTTCTAAGGTTTTATTAAATGATGTTTTCGTAGATGACGTCACTTCCGGTGCCTCTACTGTTCATGAAGCTTTAGTAGTTCAACAAGAGCTTATTAATATTTGTAAGACGGCGGGTTTCGAGCTTCGAAAGTGGCATAGTAATTCACCAGAGGTACTTGCTGCAGTAATTCCCCCAGATTCTCATGGTGAGCGGCTCGATGAAGTCCGATTCGCCGAAATGGAACACGATGAACAGGTCAAGGTCCTTGGACTTCAATGGAACCCTATTTCCGACTGTTTCAATTTTAATGTCAAAATATCACCTTGCTTAAGCACCAAGCGCGCTATTCTTTCCGAGATAGCTAAAATATACGATCCATTGGGCCTTTTAGCGCCAGTTACTTTATATGCCAAACATTTGATCCAACTTTTGTGGATAGCCAATATAGGTTGGGATGAAGCACCGCCGATTGATATTGTTAATTCATGGAAATCATTTAGTAGTCAGTTACCATTTATTTCGAATGTGTCGTTCCCAAGGCACATTTTTTCTGATTTAGGATCTGTTCAGATTCATGGCTTTGCCGATGCTTCAGAAAAGGCTTTTGCCGCCTGTGTATACATACGCCTTACGGGCAAAGACGGGCATGTTCGTACTTCGCTTATTATAGCCAAAACTCGAGTCGCTCCACTTCGTATGCGTCTTACTATTCCCCGTCTCGAACTTATGGCAGCCCTATTGTTGTCAAAACTACTACAGCAGGTGTTAGTTACCTACTCAGATTACGTCAAGGGTGATCAAGTTTACGCTTGGTCTGATGCATCCATAGTGTTAGCGTGGTTACGTTCGCCACCACATGAATGGAAAACATTTGTTTCTAATCGCACTAGCGAGATTCTTTCACGCGTTCCCGTTAACTGCTGGCGACATGTACCGTCGACCGATAACCCTGCTGATGCTGCGTCTCGTGGTATGCTACCTGGCGTATTTATAGAACATGATTTGTGGTTCCAAGGTCCAAGTTGGCTCCGACAGGACGAAGCTTGCTGGCCGGAATCAAAGTCTTACTATACAACGGAAGAGGAAAAGCGTCTCAATATTAATTTGATTAACACTAATTTAACTACACTGGATCCCTTACCGGATGTAGAGATAATTTCTCGATTTTCTACGTTAGGAAAACTTGTTCGCGTTACTGCAATAATATTTAGATTTTATTTCAAATGTAAAAAACACATTAAATCTTGCCCTAATTATATAACTGTGCCGGAATATAATTTTTCCTTAAAAAAACTTATTTATTTAGTGCAACATAGTGTGTTCAGTAATGACATTGAAAACATTTCAAAGGGTAAATTGCCTTCAAATCAATTACGTCGTTTAACGCCATTTCTGGATGAAAATCAATTTTTACGTGTGGGAGGCAGAATTCATAAGTCTCTTTTACCATTTGAATCAAAGCATCAATTAATTTTACCGAAAAAACATACTTTAACCAATCTCATTATTGACGATGCGCATATAAAGTATTTACATGCCGGCCCACAAACAGTCCAATACTTATTATTACAACGTTTTTGGATACTTTCTTGTCGCGATATCGTGCGCCAGCGCATACATCGCTGTGTTATTTGTTTTCGCTCTCGTCCTAAGTCTAATCAGCCACGTATGGCACCGTTACCTGCTACTCGTTTACGTCCCTCGCGACCCTTTATTAAGACCGCCGTAGATTACGCGGGTCCTTTTTACGTACGTGCAAATAAGGTGCGCAATGCTAAAGTTGTGAAATGTTACGTTGCAGTTTTTGTATGTATGAGCGTTAAGGCCATACATTTAGAGCTTGTGTCCGAGCTTTCCACGGAAGCTTTTCTCGCGGCTTTGCGGCGTTTCACATCCCGTCGAGGTTTATGTACTGATATTTTTTCGGACTGTGGGAAGAACTTTGTCGGATGTAATAATTATTTAAGGGATTTGTTCGCGTTCTTAAACAGCGACTCTGTACAGGCTAATTTAAATCGAGAGACACTTAAACAAGGCCTAACGTGGCACTTTCAGCCACCATACGCAAGTCATTTCGGTGGGCTATTCGAGGCGGGTGTCAAAAGTTTTAAGCATCATCTACATCGTGTTATTGGCACTCGTACTCAAACATATGACGAGATGCATACCCTCCTATGTCAAATAGAGGCTATACTGAACTCGCGTCCACTCTGTGCAATCAGTGCTTCGCCTGATCCGCTTCCTTTAACTCCATCACACTTTCTGATAGGAGAACCTTTGATTGCTTTGCCTGATGTTTCTTTGGTGGACGAGAATACTAATCGACTTACGCGTTGGCGCTGGGTACAGCAGTCCGTTCAGCATTTTTGGAAGAGATGGAGTAGAGAGTATCTTCATGAGATTCAGCAAAGTCAAAAATGGTTTGAGACTCGCGGGTCTTCTATTCGTGAGGGTACTATTGTGGTAGTTTGCGATGATCACCTGCCACCATTACAATGGAAACTAGCACGTGTCCATGCTCTACATCCAGGTTCGGATAATGTTACTCGTGTGGTGACTTTACAAAGGGGCAATACATTTTACAAGCGACCTGTTGTAAAGGTGTGTCCACTCCCTATCGAATAAACAATTAATCGTTGCATATCGAATCTTAGTTCTAAGTTTTTTATTTATATTTTATTTTGTTCTAAATTTAATATTCAATTTGTTCATTTAATGTTAAAGGCACGTTCCTTTAAGGTGAGCGGCATGTTCCGTAACGAAACAGATCATTGATAATTGGCTATACAAAGACAACACAACTGTGGGTAAAATTTTTATTGTCTATGGGCAAGGCGATTAGCTGTCTTCGTTCCAAATCCCCACCCTTAATCCTTGGGTGACGGTTTACTACTGTGATTTCAAATTGTTAACTGCGCGCACCTAATTTTGATTGAGCTTGGTGAATTGTTCGTTATCGAGAATAAGGACATTTCGGAAGAACGGTGGATCAGTGCCTATGGACTATATATCGTGTATGATATATTCGCTGGTAACCGCGTCGACGCACCCCGTTCCAGAACCCAGCCCTCGGAACCCGTGGCGGTAAAGGATCGCTTGCGGTGAGTCGCCAACCCCTGCTTAATATCGTACACCCCCTTTTAACGATTATCTGCAAAACTGCGGTCTAGTCTAATGATCTATACCATACTCATATCAATACAAAGACAAAGAGCATGTTTTAGTTTGGCACGTTCTTATTATGGTTATGGTATGACACTATGTAGTGGGCACTTTAATGAAAAGTGTGGATAATTTCACCTGTCTATTTGTCGCCTAAAGAGGGGATATCTCCACGGAGAGTTTGGTTTCCTCTGCTCGTGCTGGAAGGCGGGATTGTCACGCCCGCGTTCGTTTTCGCTCACCACCGACATTGACACTTGCCCTTCGGTGTCTTTCGTTTTCGATGATAACCTCCTGTAAATATTTAAGAGCAATAAGCTTTATAACTGAGAAGGCATTAACCCGTTGATGCCGGCAACATATGCAGTTGTGAACACCCACTGGGGCCCGTTAGGTTGCTTGTGGCCCATTCCCACTATTCGATTCCATCGATAATAAGCTTTACAATTGAGAAGGCGCCGTTGGTTCCAGCAACAAATGCAGTCGTCCACAACCACTAGGGCCCGCTAGGTTGCTTGTGGCCCATTCCCACTATTCGATTTCATCGATCATAAGCTTTACAATTGAGAAGGCACATTATGCCGTTGATTCCAGCAACAAATGCAGTCGTAAACACCCACTGGGGTCGGCTAGGTTATAGCCTATTCCTCCTAGCAGTAAAGACAGTATTAAGTTGGTGACGATGAAGCCTTCTTTAAAATATTTTTAAAATCACTATTTTGAAGTCATCAAAACCGTACATATTTATATAGAAAGAGTCTCGATCCGCTGCGACCCTGGCCTTGGATATTATCTTGAACCTTGGTTTTGTATGACTTTTTCAAATATTCACTTTGCTGAGTAAGCGGTGATTAGTTTCTAAAGAAAGGTGTCACATAAGTATTAATAGGGATGACGACTGGGTAAAAAATATGCAATTCTATTTAGTCCGTCAGTCAGATAATAGAAACATATTAGATACGTATTTTTTCTACCTCAATTTAACAAGAAATAGCTTAGATAACAGGCATTAAAGTCGACGAGGGGGAGGGGGGGGCGGGTACCATAGCGTGACGTCATGCGAAATTTCAACTCCATGTAACGCCATAATTTAATGATAACGAAAAAATAAAAAAATACGTGTTTAATATTTTTTAACACTCTACCTGACGGACAAACAAACATAAATTAGTCATCATCCCTATTAATTAATTATTAAACGCAACCTTAAACCTCAGACGCCGCACCCGTCCTAAAAAGGACAGGCTGTAACGAGGCTGGCTTACCTGGTAAAGCTCACAGGCTTACCGGGAGGGGGGAGGCCCAGTATCCGGTTACACTTTAATTAATTACCTGAGTATTCTAGACGGGAGAGAATTTTGTGTTTGCGGCCGTGCCCTCTGCCGACTGTCATCAATGAGCACGTGTCTATCGTATGGCGTGTCGTAGTCCACTTCTAGTACCGTCGAGAATCTGTGCGGCCACGCTAGATCCAGCGCAGCAATAAGCAGGCCCACTACTACACATATAGTACCTGAAACATTCATTATTTGCTACCTTAGAAGCAATTTAGGTTGGCCGTTTGATTTGTACACGGTGAGCTGTCTTTAATTGCTGAAACAGCTTAAAAAATGAAATCCAGAAAATATACAAGCTGGGAAAAGTATCTAATTTATAATATATTATCTGAAGGTGATGTCAGAAACTATAACAACTGGCGAAACTGTATGAAAGACGTATGTAAAGACCGTGTCTTGTGGCGCTCAGTTTTCTCTGCCTACATTTTTATAGATATGGCATGGAAAGCAAGGAAATTATAACAAAATAAACACAAAATTCACTATTTTGTGTTTATTTTGTTGTACGCATATTATTGTCTCGAAAATGCTGAATTTATGAATTTGCGGTACCAACGGAGAGATTCGCTATCGCTTCACTAGGCGTGACTTGTTGCAGCAACATTTCTCTATCAGAGCTACATCAGGAAGAGATAAATTATGTGACAGTGGGAGAAAAGATTTGCTAGGGGGTCAGAGATGACGTCCAGGCAGTTTAAAAGATTGCGGATTTAAAGGTAGATTGGTCGTGCATTACCCCCTCATGAGAGGTTGGTAGTCCTATATTATACAGTATATTTGGAAACGCAGGGGTTTTGTTACAGGGGGGAGATTGTCCTGGGGACTTGACTATATAGTTTTCCAGATTTCATTTCTAGTAAGGAGTACATAGAAATACAATTTCGTTCATCTGTATTGGTCAGTCATTGGTTTATCGACCTATAATACGTATTAGGTTGAGAAATTAGACAATATGTAAATGTCCATACAACAAAATATCATAGACACTGTAGTTTCCTACCCCTAAGAAAAAGTATTTTTTCTGTTACATTAAGTACATCTCTAAAATCGTTCCCTCACTGCTGAGGATTGTGACTCAAATTTCTGTGTAAGTTATCAAGTGCACGCCTCCATCTATTGTAATCGATAGCTTGGTGTAGTACAACATAGACAGGTTTATCTTTTTGCACTTCTATGTCTCTTTTTCGATAAGTACATAAACTTTGTTATGGGGGTTTATGGACACATTAAGAGTACCTGCGATAAGGACTAGCCAGAAGCACCATCCGAGTGAGAAGAAGAGCATCGCTCCGTCTATCCGCACGACGAGTGGCGCGTGCGGCAGCGATGCCCAGTAACCGCCCGCCGCCGCGCATAGTGCGCCGCCCACCGCCGCCATCGCGTACGCGCCGTACCGCGGCACCACTACCAGCAGCAGGTTCATCAGCAACCAGAACGCTAATGCCGTCCTGCCGTATGAAACACCAAAACAGACTGTGCATTTCATAGATAAATTCGTTCCATTACGGCGTAGTGGATAAGCGTCGAGGCCCGCGATCTTTTTTATTGAGCAACTTTCACGAGTTGGGTGAACAAAAATTATTATCTCGAGCTACTCCGTGCTTCGGAAGGCATGTTAAGCCGTTGGTCTCGGCTGCATCTGCTGTCATTAACTATCCAATCCGCATTGGGCCAGCGTGGAGGGTTATGGCCTCCTCCATCCTCTTCAACCGTCCCTAAGGAAGGCCTGAGACCCTGCAGTGGGGTCGTAAAAGGGTTGATGATGATGACGATTTTATATATCATTGTACACTCGGCTGCATGTCAGGTTATCCCAATGTATCAAAATTCTGTAACGGATTTTGACCTCTACACTCAACATATTAAGATCGATTGGGAAAATTTGACAATTTTGTATAGTCTGATATGCAGTTGACTGCACCTCTATATTTAATTTATTGCATGTTTTATAGTTGTTCCATATAATAAGTCTGATCATTAGATGATGTCAATAGCTACGGTTTTAATTGACCTAGATCAGTGAATTCTAACCTTGGTTCTCAGGGGCCATTGTATATAAATAAATATCACACAATTATTGAATAGATACACTTTGTCCCTGGTACATACGATATTTTACAATCCGAGCGACTGCTCTAACCAATGAGCTACTCAGGATCTAACAGGACTGACGAATTTTTCAAGCACTCGTTGCTTTTTCGCTACTACAGGGCGTATTTCCATCTGACAGATGTTCAGACACCTGATATAGAACTCATCTCATTGAAACTATTGATTCTACATTTTATGTAAAAATACAAAACAAGATGTATTGATTCATACGTGTCTCAGATATTCTATCCTTATGTCACTTCACTTATGCCATGAAACGGTGATACCAATACAAGATTAAGCGGATGTCTCTTTCGAAGTGAATTCGGCAGCTGAGTGAATTTGATCGGATTCGAATTTTTACACAATCACTTTGCTGACCATTATTGAGAGTTTTCGGACTAGCTGTACAGTCAGTTATTTCAATTTTTTACAATAAAATCCTAGCAAGAAGGTTCATACCTTATTAGGATATATTTTTGCAGTTCGCCGACCTAGATAGAGACCTATATATGAGACATCACGAAACTATACAACTTCTTGAGGGATATGGTGTGGCAAAACTAACGCAGTTATTATTGCTTAATTAAAATAAGCCCTAATATAGAGTTCTGGAAACAACTTGCAATCAAAAAGAAGAAGAAAAAGGTTCATACCACAATAGAGTAGAGGTGGTGTATCCCGCAGCGCGGTATTTGGCACCCCACTCGAAGCCTTCGTGCTGTGCAGCGAAGTGTTCAGCCACAGACAGCACAGGATACGGTAGACCCCGTGCTAACCCTGCTCGGTACCACTCCTGCATAGCTCCTGCTTCCTCCCAGCGGAACTGCTCATTATAATCAACGCCGGGGTCACCTACTGTAGCGTTACCCCATGACAAAGCTGAAAACCATTATTTCAAGTTTATAGAACCATTCAAAAGTTTAGCTATTTTCTTTTTATTTAAAACTAACGCTATATAATAGTTATGTTAATTTTATTGATAGTTGACACATATAATTCTTTGGCGGTACGAAGTTCGCCGGGTCAGCTAGTAATTAAATAAATTGTTTAGACTACACAACCTTGGAAAGCGGCGACTTTGTAAAACTCACATCAGAAGTTATCGTGAAACCAACTAAAAAAGAGTTTCGCAATGGTTGGAACTTGATTAATTTCAATATTATTACAATTAAGTAAGATAAATATCTACACTTTCGTTTGTCAAAGCACGAGTGTCGGGCAAAACCTTTTTAAGCGCCACCATCTTAGTTATAGTGATTCCGCAGTATGAACTAGCCATTAAAACGCGGCGTGAATTATCAGACTCATATTTATAAATTTATACAGTACGCGGTGAAATTATTCGCGTAATACTCCGCAACTCCGATTGATTAGTGATTAGGACTAGTCGAATAAAGGCTGCTGAAATCTTCCAATGAAAATACGCCTTTACGACCTGCCGGTGTTTCTGCTTGATGGTGCGTTAAAACCTCACCAGTGAGCGTAACGTTGACGTGTCCGAGGCCCACGTGCACCGCCAGCCAGCAGTCCAGTCGCTCAGCTGAGAAGGCCCGGTATGCGGCGCGCGACACGCGTGACCCTGCCACGTGCCACGACGAACTGTGCTTACACACTGAAATAATGTAAATATTATAATCAAAATATGAATCTAGCTACATTTATAGAACATCGAAATCGATGTAGCTAAAAGAGCCGGATGAAAGTTATATTGACGGTGATGTCATTTGATACTAGCTACACTATCGAGATCAGCACCAGGGATTGAGTCATCTTGGGAAATCGCGCTTTAGCATAATGTAGTACTAGTACGCCAAAACAGTATTTTAAAAGTAAATGGACCTTGTGTTTTACGTTTACATTAAGAATACTTTGAGCTGTTATACTTAGTACCTAAAAAATTTTATCTATTATTTTTTGTTTTAGTTACTTACGAGAGAACATTATATAAAAAAATAATAGTAGGGGTTAAAGTATGAAATTGCTGTTTTATTGTAATAGGTTGAGGTTTTTGAAAGAAACTTTTTTCACGTGGTTTCTATTATGTTCTTCTTTTAAAAAACGTGAAACATTTGAAAATCGACATTAACGGTAAATTTGTGTTGAAGCGTTAGAGTCAGTCTTTCACACAGTTAACTAATTACCTAAATACTAACGAAATATCTACGATTACTCGGCGGTGATTCTTCAAGCACCGTCAGTTTACCAATTTTGATAAAGAAATCGTCAAATAACAACGCCCGAAACAAACAAATTTAAATGATACGGAACTTCTGTTTATGTAAAAATCATTACAATGTAACTATAATCTTAATTAATCTGAGTGCATTTTAAAGTATTTTTGGAAATATTTATTAATAATTTGAAATAGCATTGATAAAGTATAGAAAAAAAAACATAATATTAACCAAAGAACTTCTATAATAGCTCTAAAATATAAGTTAACTGTGAATTTCTCCTATATACGATAATATAATTGAACAAAATTAGTAGTAAATTTTAAGCACAAATTCATTACACTATTTCTTTAAAAACAATTGACATAACTGTAAAATTATTACAAAATGCGATGCACCGGCCGTCTGATCTCAATTTGTATAGCGGTGTAGAGTTTATTCATATTTGGGCTCTTAAGTGTACTTTAATTATAGTTTTATGTTCAATAAAGCCAGCAACACAGACAGCAATAATCAATACTAGATAAATAATGACAGTGACAAATGACATAAAAAAAATAAATCAAAACACTTAAGGAGGCTGACAAAGCTATCGTCAATAGTTAAGTTTCTAATGATGTTTGGTTAAATTCAGTTGAAAGAAATTTGGTTTCAAAAATTTTTGCTATCATAGTTTGCGGTGCAGGCAATTATAACATGAATAGTTATAGGTTAATTATTATAATTAGTTTTATAATGTAATAGCTTTATAATATATGGTCTATCAATCAACGTAACAATCAACTGTTATTATTAAGTTTTTTCTATCTCAGGGGCCTTGATTGGTGAATAAGCTTTTGACCCCTTTTAGAAGTCATGACCACAGGCCATTATATAAGCACTCTTTCTAATCATGCCTGGGATTGGAAATATAATTGCTTATGATCTAATTTTAATACTAGTATAATATTACCAACGTACTCAAAATATTATACCTGATGTAGAAGTACCGCAAGGAAGTGTAATGGGCTCAATTAGGCTCAATTGACTATACCATGTCTAATTTGTGAGAAATGCATACCTTCTAACTTACAAAATTAAGCGTACGTGTTTAGAAGTCCTTATAGACTAATAAGGAATATTGCACCAGGTCAGCTAAAATTGATAACTTCTTTTTTTGAAGTCGGTTAAAATATGAAACACTAACATTGATGGGAACGTGTATATAAGAACGTGTTTGTCTTCTTTTATTGTTGAAATGAATAGTCGTTATGATATGAATGTTTTGTATGGAAAATAGGAATCCAACTAGGATTTAGTGTAATTAATTATTTTTTTTATTTAATTAAGTTGTGTAATTAGTATTAGCTTGTGTGTTTTGCAAAACAATCTGCTTAATACCACTACGATCAATCCAAAGAGAATCAGAAAAGCGTGCAGTGATTAAAAACTAGAAGATATTTATGATTAGCATTTAATAAACCGAGCTCGCCAGTAATACATTAATATAATAATAATAATTTATTTGTTTTCTTAACAAAAACTGAGATTTACAAACTTAGACAGCAATTAAATCTAAAACTATATAATTTGCATACTATCACAATCTGAAACTTTATATTTATAATAGTATCTACTGTAAAAACTTAGGAGACTTTACTTCACGGCTTTGTAGTGTTACCACGAAATGTTAAACTACAAACTTTGTTGTGTGTAAGTTTTACAAGATATGATATATGTGTCAGGGGTTTGCGTTTCGTTAACAAAGAGCACGATATTCAAAATGCCATTCTGTTTCGATTAACGTAATCTGATCGATCCGAACGTATCATACAAATCACGAAACGATGTTGACTCGTCCTGAATTTGATTTATGGTGAAATTTCGTAAGCGAACATTTTTTTGCGACATTCGCTACGTGAACGAGATCTTAATAGATTGCGAATAAAAAGGAATTAGATGTGCTTACCTAGTATGACGGTGCCAACGAAAAGGCTGAGAGTTACTATAGTGAACGTCGTAAACCTCTGTAACAAAATTGTATTACCTATTATTGGTATTCGATAAAGTTATTTCAAAGAGAAATTAAATCTTGTTTTAAATTCTCTTTGAATCTCTAGCATGTTGTTATTTTAGTTTTATTGAAGTCGCACCAATTCAAGCTGCAATTATCTGTGAGATGGCAGGTTCGTAGTCCTGATTCTGGGTATTGTGGTACTTTCGCTGTTTCAGATTGGAATAACACAAGGGCTTTAGATACCTACATATTTTGGAATTCGAGCCAATTATAAATACTTTAGTAGAATTAATATTTCAAGCATCATTTGAAAATAGCTGGTAACAATGCAAAATCAACAAACAAAACCAAGAAAACAATATGAAGATGAGTAAAAATTTTTTTATTGTTACATAAAATATATTTTCAACTGATATAGCATATATAGTGAAGGGGTGGTTAAATAGTATGTGGCTGCACTACATATTTGGGAGGTCATGCTTGATCTTTTTAATGCTAATTAAAGTATTAAAGATTCACGTTAATACTTAATACTAACTATTCTTCTGAGATTAGATGCCAGATCTTTCAATTTATCATAACCAATAAACACAGAGGTTGTCTGTGCCAATAAATTATAGCGAGAAAGTCTGTTCCCTTTTCAAATAGAGTTATTATTCCTGAGCTTATTGCTCTGACTCTTGATACATTTGACAAATATACACTCACCTCTTTCCTAATTCCTGGGAAGATGGCGAGGAAGGCAAGGTAAAGTGTTAGCGCGGCGAGCACCAGCGCCAGCGCCGGTACATCAGCCGCGACTGCTGTCCTGTTGTGGTACGCGTAAAGAGTTGGCCCGCCTTCCTCGCGGAACGCGTCGAACCACCCCTTCATCGCTCACCCAACCTGTAACAGAAAAAAAACTCATTAATGTTTTGTTGTTATCCTATTACACTACCATACCTTATAACAAACATATCAAAACATTTTTTTTAAAGCAATGTAGGTATATGCACATGCATGCAACATATACGACAGGAATAGGATTTCTCTTTGCTCTATAAGATTCCACCCTATTTCATCTTAGTATCATTGTTGTGTAATAACATATGTAATGTAATTAAAAAAAAAACAAATTAAGCTTGAAACTACGATAATATTATTACTTGTCTTGATTTCATTTATAATCAAAAAATAATTGAACATTTTCCAATGGCCAATAAATACACCTATAAGATCAAATAAACTTAATATGTAATCAAATCATTATTAAGTTTAAATGTTAATAACGATACTAAATACATATAAAGGCGCGACTTGAAAATTATTGGTTTAGTCCTGTCATTAAAATCACCGAGGCATGACCAACACGCGCTTGTGACTGATAACTATGGACTACGCCACCATGATGACACCAAAACACGTAAATTATAGGTATACTGCGCTTTGTTAACGACTTAAAATGCTAATCAACTATTTCGTACTTGACATGCATTAGGAATTGCACGACAACGCTAGTGAATGACGTCATATTTGTAAAGATATTTGGCACAGTTGCAATTTACCTAGTCTTATAATTTTTTGCACTTTGGTTCTGTTATTTTGTATTAATTTAAGTTTGATAAGTTTTTTTAACAAATGATACTATACTAGAGTCATAGTTTTAAATGAAATATGGGGATGAATACAAAAACTATACGAATTATAAATTAATAGTTCGGTAACGTAGTTGTTAAGTTGTAGTTTTTGCAGTTTTTGCCCTCTAATCCGAATTGAGCCAGCGTGGAAAGATCATGGCCCATCCTCCTTAACCTTCTTAATAAAGAAGGTCTGATAAGCCCCGGTAATGGGGACGCAAAAGGGCTGTAAATGATACTATGAATTAATGGCCATTCGTTGAAAACATGTAATTAGTGTAAGTTCCTATTGCAAAAAGCTGAACCGCACGTTGTGGTCTGGTGTGTATTCACGTTGCGAAACTACCTTCGGGAAACGGATATAGCAGCACCTTTGTGGTAATTATATTATTAAATTTATAACTGCTCGTAAAACTGAGATACTGCGCTTGCACAATATAGTTTCAAGTAAGTAGATCGCGAATTCGAACGAATAATGTTTGCACGTTGAGACGCACGCTGTTTCTAAATGTTGGTTGTAATTTTCAAAAAATTTATGTAGTGTGAATATGTGTTACGAAAAAGCCGAAAGTGGGGAAGGTTTTTATTTGAAATGTTACGGAATCCTTAAAGGTGATTAGCGTGTTTATCTATTCGTATCGATAATTAACTCCGTTACTTGATCGGGTCTACAATTTTGAAAAATGTATTATAATCTATATAATATAGAGATTACGGGATAGTGTTGATGATGTCCAAAGATGATGTACAAATTTTTAATTATATACCCAGTTGCACACAAATGTACATTAAGGTGTAATAACAACATTAAGCTAAAATGAATTTCTAAATTTAAATATTTGTATCTATACTGCCGCTTTAAATTAATGACAATTAGAATGGAAGTTTGTGCGACTGTAAAATTTTATATTTATACATCGTTAACACTATCCTGTAATCTATCTAATTAATAACTCTGAATTTTTTAGGAATTATATACACACAACATGTTACTTATAAATAAAATATTTAACGTACCTAATCAACTTATATATTTATATACGCCTTCACATTTCTAACGTTTCCACGTATGTAGGTTCATCACTTTTTAATTATATTTGAAGTCCAAATGTATGCTTCTAACTGTGATAATCACTAACAAAGAACACCACTCACTGTAAGGTCTTATAGCAACTGGTCGTTAATCATATTTAACGATATCTATTAATGCATTATAAATGCAATAAAAATATTATTGACCTTTAAATAGCCACGGCCAAAAGCTCTTGACATATATATCTTGAGTCGGAAGTGTTATGGTGATCATTTTGGTCCGTAATTTGTCGGGTACTTACCGGAAGAATTGTTTAGTTGGAGAATACCAATCGAGGCTATATATCTTGAGTGCGCACTTGCTTCGGTACTTTTATGAGCGCACGGATGTTGTGTAATTGTAAAATCAACTTTATGCTGATACAAAAAAGACTCGGCTGGCGAAATGTATTTAATCCTTCAGAACCTTTATAAAGGTGAACCGGCAGCAATGAAATCAATTATAGGTGTGTTATGTAAGTACCGTGCTGAGGCCATACATAACAAATGTTACAATAATAAATTAAAATTGATTACCGATTAACGTGTATGATTAATATTTTATACATTTAATAAATTCTATTATTTATAGGAAAACTATGTACTTTTAATTAAATCTTTATACTTTAGCGGGTACAGCAGGCGTTGGCGACCCTACTACGTAAATAAAGCACTGATTAATCTGTGAAAATTAAGACCTGAATGATCTGTTATGTTGATAAATCAATTGTTAGTACGCCAATCACGATTGCTCTAGGATTGGACAGACCAATTCTGATTCGTCTGTTGAAAATGTACCTGTCAGTCTGACAGATCATATAGAGTTTCATTTTGACAGAGCAATCAGGGCTTTAGTTAGCCGCTCGCTACTGTAAACTATTCAAAAACACAAATTGTTTGCTTAAAAATTCAGTAACTTATCCCGAAGTGTAAAGCCACAGCCGTAGCCATGACTAGCTGGGTATATTGTAGTATACTAGGGTAGAGAAGAGACAAAAAACAGAGGATATCATATTTTAAAAATTTACCTTATCATCTGAGAAAGTTTCGTAGTCGTTATAAATATAGATCCTATCACTTTCTATACGAGTGATTATTTCGCTTTTATAAAAACATCTAATATAGATTTTGGCCAATCTATTATATAATAAACTGTTAAATATTTGAAACCAATTATCTCTAACGGGTCTATTCTGCTATTTTATTAAGTAAGGTCTATGTTTCACCATAATGGTAATTGTAGTATGTTTACTATATTAGATATCTTCTCTTCTCGAATGTAATTGCATATCATTTATTCGATAGAGTATATTTTCGAGATTATTCAATAAAAAATATGGGATCCGCACTCTTGTTTTTATATCAATATTAGCTGTTTTCTCGCGATTTCGTCACATCACCCGCTTATGATGTAGCTTCTCGTAGGTGAACATTTTCTAAAGTTATTGTTACCCCATCAATCGAATATAGACAGAATAATAATATTAAAATAACACGGAAAGTTTTGTCAACTTAATGTCAAAAGTGGGTTTGGAGCGGGAGAAGTCGCGTGAAAACAGCGAGTAATACTTACCTTTCTAAATTAGTTGAATTTGAAATATGTGTCCGTCCTATGTATCCAAAACATATTTGCTAACCCTCGAAAGTTAGATTAAGTTATCCCAAATATAAATAAGAAAAACAATCAACGATGACCTCACAAATAAGTTTGATAAAGTTTGCTAAAGGTTCACTCAGTAAATTGTTTAAAGTCAGTTAAAGAGCAAGTATAGTTCTTGATATTTAATTAATTAATTTGACAATTTCTGTCATGTTATCGTAATATTGGATAATTTGTTGACATAGTCTCTCAACATTGTATTCTGAAGACGAAGAATCGTAAACTAGCTGACACTGTTTAGTGTTAATTTAAATAAATTATCGCCTATTTTTCACGACGTTAACTTTATGTATTTATTTAAGAATGACAACATTATTTACGACACTCATCTTCCTCATTGATATTATCTGAATGTTTAAAAGAACGACTAAAATCTATTTTTTTATAAATTACTAACTTATCACCTATGTAGTTCATCTTCGTGCCAACACACATCTAGCCAGTGTCGTTTTATGTTTGCAGTGGAAAATAACTAATCATGAACAGGATTCCATCATTTTTGAAATAATTTTTGCGACCGAGTTGTTCATTATGTCGACCCCGCTGCAATTTGAAGGCCGGCCACTAAACGACTTCAATTTCCGTATTTCTCAGTTATCTTTGGAAATTTTATGTACTATTATTGTTACATTATTTACAAAAAACTTTTCTATAAATCCATCATGAAATAGAAGGTTCTTACAAAATTTCAGATATCCAACTCTATTATTATTGTTTTAATTATGCACAGACACTATCACGGAACTTCTTGATAATTAATAGTTTTGTAGCTGCAGTACGGGCTTGCCGCAGCAAATGCGGCCTAAGTAGCATTAATTTTAAGCTTCATTTTAAGTTTAGTTTTTTTTTCGTTATTTTTGGACTCATTAATTGATGCATGATGCAATTAATTCTAATAATATTTACTAAGGGAATAGTAAATAAATAGACTTATATTATCGTCTTTAACATGCTCAATATTGTTTTTAAGTTTCTTCTTTTGATATCGGTTGTTAAAACTTTCATGTTCACGGGTTTGATTATAATTTTAAACCAATAAATTTTATTGCTACATAAATTCAGAATAATTATTTTCTTTTACAAAGGTAAATGTTCACTCAATATCGTAAGATCCGTACAAACAGGTTACTTTTACCTGGGGAAGAAAATAAAAATAAATATCAAGAGCAGAATGGCGGTTAAAATTTAAATTGATTTTTATTTATAACAGTCGTTCGGTATTGGAGTTGGCAGTTGATTTTATATCCGGAAACGGTTCGTTGCGCTCATGGTTAGTTAGACCGCTGCGACCACGTCATAACCTTGACTGGAGTAAGTGGAAAGATGTGATCGACGGACGCGATGCAATAAATTAAGATAATGATTATTTGAAAAATATAATAACGACTGGAATATAATAATACTAAATGAATACTGTTAGTTTGAATAATTTAAATCTATTAAAAGTTTTACATTTGCTAGTGAGAATCGTCATTACGTTCATTTGGGTGACAAAAAGAAGACTCCAGAAAAACTTTTCTGAAAATGTTCAACATCAA